CGTTCTGGAGGGTGGCGGTGAATAATTTTGGCGAGATGGTATCGCATTGCCTAACTCCTTTTTTGACGTCAATGTTAATATCGTTGTTGAATGGTGATGCCTTAGTTGTGAAATTTTTGTACAGGTCACGGAGAATCTTTATGTACTGAGTAGGGACTCCTTGGCTGTCAAGGGCTTCCAAGACTGCTTCTATCTCATCTGACTCAAAGGCCTTCTGTAAATCGATGAAAGTGAAACAGAGCGGTCTTTTGTATTCTCGCGATACTTCAATGAGCCGTGTTACCGTGTGGATGTGGCCCATCGTACTAAATCCTCTTCGAAACACTGCTTGATCGCATGGTTGTCCTTCGTCTGGTGTTCTGTCAATCCCGTTTAGGTTGAGTCCAGTGGAAAGTTTGTAGACGACGGACAGTAGGCAGATTGGGCGGTAGTTGCCGATATCGTGTAGGTCACCCTTCTTGAACAATAACACGGTCTTGCTGATCTTCCACTGAGCAGAGACCTTGCATTCAGACAAGTAACACGTGAAGAGCCAAGTCAGTGTGTTTACTAGGACTGGCGGAAGGTTTTCCAGGTGTTCTGGTCTTGTCCTGTCCGGGCCCGGTGCTGTTCGATTTTTCACCAACGAAATGGCATGTCGGATTTCGAAAGGGAGAAGCGGTGGTACAACATATCCATCCTCCTTTATTTCATATGACGGAAGGTGGACGTGGCTATCGAAGAGATCCGAGTACTATTCGTGAATGATTTTCTCCATTGCCTTTCTGGACGCTGTAACTATTCCGTCTAGGCACCGGAGTGCAATCATTTTGGTCTTGTATGTAATTGGCGAAGTTTCGGTGGGCTTTGCGAATGTCTTTCCCAGCCTCTGCAGCTTCAGCCATTTCTGCTGCTCTTCTCTCTTTAAGATCTTGTTTTATCGCCTGTCTGCATTGTTTTACGACTTCGGACGTTAGTTCGAGGTTGCCTTCAGCTCGTGCGATTCCACGCTGGCGTATCAGCTCGAGTGTTTCTGAAGACAAACGTCACTTGGTTACTTTCGAACTCTGAGCTTCCATAGCGCTAACGTGAAGTTGTTGAATGGGCCGACCATATTCCTCGTCGATGCTATCGACAACGGCATCTTCCCAGCAGCCGATTAATGAATTGAACAAGTCCCAGTTTTCGGTGGTTCTGGAATTTAGCGGATTTTTTTCCTTTACGAGAGAAATAGAATCTTACAGGAGGGAGACGATAGTCTGATCCCGTGTAGAATTTTGAGACAACAGCGGCATCGGTTAGACAAAACCTTCTATTTACTTTGTTGTGCTTTATTTCGTTATGGTACTCACCACTGTGAGACTCCCACGTCCAGCGCCAAGGGTGGGACTTTTGGAATTGCGAGTTACCATGGATTGTCTTGGTCGCCATGATAAATTCAGACAGCCGCTCACCCTGTTCGTTCCATCCCAATCCGTGGGTTCCTGTGTGAGATTCTTCAGACACGTTCTTCTTAGTCTAATCTTGTTGTTGAAATCTCCAATGATGACCTTGAAGAATGTATGCTGTCTGTAGAACTTCTCCAAGTCGATATTGAACACTTCGACTTCTTCTTCGTCATATTTTGATGTCGGCGCGTAAGCGACGAAGATTGTCAAAGCCGGTATTGATCCACATCTCTTTAATCGTAAACGTCCGATTCGGGTTGTAAGTTGTTCGAATGAATCGATGTTCATGGACAAACTCGTGTTGACGAGAACACCGACGCCGTCGACTCCTCTATTGTCGCATGTTCCGAGAAACAGTTCTTCTCCGGTGTCATAGTCGGCGTTGAAGATCCGGCGTCTTCTCGTCTCGGCCAGGCCGATGACGTCGTACTTTATCCTTCTTGCTTGCATGAGGAAGTCTATCGAGGACTCGGATGCAAGTGTACGTGCATTGTTGGTACAGATCGGCACCATAGTTCTTTGAAATCCAGGCAGCTTCCATTGGTCCTGAGATTTTAGCCGCTTTTCCGTACTCGTCCTACCCAGCGGCGAAATTGGAGGCTCTTTCGTGGTCATGGGAATGAGGATTTTTTTTAGTGTGTTTAGCATTTTTGATACCCAAGTATAGCTTGGTGGACTCTGAACGTGGGGCTGGGTATACTCATGGGTAGCTTTCCAGGCTCTCCGAGAGTTGACGTGGAGCTCATTTTTCGGAGGTGACTCCTTACCGCCTCCTATATACTTCCCTGTCACTTGATTGCAGGGTTTTGGCCGAATTGACTCGTAAAATACAATCCGCATAAGCGAGAACGCATCCACACATACATGCATGAATACGCCTATCAAATACAGAAAGTATGCGCTAAATCGGCGCAGCAGAAACAGTGAGGCCATCCCCTGGATCCACCTGCGTTTCAGGTAAGCAAAGGCCGTTTTGGTCCACGATTAACCACCCACTATCCGCCACCTAGGGACGCACCGTGTAGCCTCGCGACTAACCTAGTCGACCGTGGAAGTTTCTGCGTTAGTATTCCTAAATAATGAACTACAATTTTTGGTTGCTTCAGTCGTGATCATTTGGTAACCCAGTGAGTGAGCATTCTAGGTTGGAGTGCCTCGCAATGGAGATGTCGCAGCTGTTTACTGCGACCCTTCTCGTGCGAATAAAATGCTCGATTGGAAAGCAGAATTTGGTTTGGAAGAGATGACTCGAGATCTTTGGCGCTGGCAGTGTAACAATCCGAACGGGTTTTCTCAGGCATAACTTCTCTGAAATATTCTGTGTGGTGGTTTTTTACCACCATATATTTCTTGGTTTACTAACATGAGTTATTAGCCCATATATGGTTTTTAGATGCCTTTTATTTGGTAATGATGATATGTATGCCTCGTAGAGTGCCACTATTTGAGTTTTTTTATGAATGGATGGGATACTATGTTTCCTGAAATCTTATAGATTTTTATCATGGGATTAAATTTTCATCGCTACTTTTTCCTTTCATTTTTATTCGGTACTACCGACAACTCTGTTTCGTTTTTCCAGTAGACACTTTTGGCCAAGTCCTTATTTCTGAGTTATTTACGTTCTGACTCACCTTATTTAACACACTTGTTATTCACTGAAGAATTTTCAGTATGTTTGGCTTAATATGTATGGTTACTACAAACATAAATATAAGATTTTTCTAAAGAATGTCGCTGAATGTCGGAGTACTAGGACATGTAGACAGTGGGAAAACGACGCTTACGAGAGCACTTGCTGAGGTGGCATCAACTGCTGCTTTCGACAAGCATGCTGATTCTAGTAGACGGAGAAATACCATAGATCTTGGGTACCTTACTTTGTTTACCCTTTTTTCTTCTCAAGTTTGTGACTGTGAATGACTTGCTCCGTATTTTTGTAGAGTGACATTCATGGATTGTTCTTGTAATAAGTTATGTGGTAAGAAATGGTTTTGTTTTGAAGATTTTCGTCCCTGACGGTTGCTAACCGTCGACTCGTATTAATAGACTGTCCTGGTCATGCTGGCCTCATAAAGGCTGTGTTAGCTGCCGGCACCGTTTTCGACATGGCGCTTGTGGTAATCATTTTTTATATCCTAGTATTAGGTGCTCTTTGTACGGTACTGATTTTGTTCTAACAGGTGGTGAATGCGCTATCCGGGATTCAAGCGCAGACTTCAGAGCATCTCCTATTGTGTTCTATAATCTGCCCAGAAAGGGTGATTATAGTGTTAAATAAAATAGATTTGGTAAAGGAAGAAGAGGTGAGCGTAATATTTCTTTCTATAATCTTGCCAATCCTCAAAACGGTTTACGACCTTATCGTGGCTGGTAGGTGTTCCAAGGTGCCGGACTGCGATGTACAGCAGAGGGATTCATCTCCCAGTAGGGTCTCCCAAGCTGAGGAGTCCGGCGTTTCCACCAGGAAGCCCAGCTAGAAGTAAACCAATACCAGGGTCCACCACGATCCTGGTATCAGACTAGTCGCACGGTGGCAAATCTCAGTCTGTTCCATAAGTGTAGCGACTGCCTGCGGTAGTGACGAGCTGAGACAGACTGGCCTGGCTGACCTCGGGAGTCCAGTGAAGTGCAATGGCTAAGCCAGCGAAACTCCGAGTAATGGAGATTATGCTGGGGCTGGCGCAGCCAGTGAGAATGGGCCATTGAAGTGTCTAAGTATTCAAGTATTATTTTGGAATTATTGCAGTTGTAGTTTCGAGAGTAGCAATATCATTTAAATTTCATGTGGTGACTACGCGACAACTCACGAATCTTGTAATGCTTTCAGGTTCCTTCAATTGCAAAAAAAGTCAAAAAAGCCCTGACCACACTAGGAATTGCTGATTTTTCTCCGGTTTGTTTGAAATCGTCTCTTGAGAACTGATGAATATGAGAAGTTACAGATCGTCCCTATATCTCTTGTTACTCCTACGAGCACCTCAGTGTCTGAACTGATAAGAATGTTGGAAAGAAGAGTTTTCGAACCATATCGAGTCGATTCTGGCAGGTATCTGTATGCAACTATTAATTTTCTAATTCATGCAGTGCTATGGCTTTTGGTGGTGAGGAAGTCTCAAGTCCTTTAATATTATTTTAATTAGTAATATGTCTCTATTATGATAGCCAGGGAGTCCCTGCTGATATCATCATTCCACAACGATATTAACATCGACGTAAAGGAGTAGGTTAGCCATGGCGCCATACCATGCCGCCAGTATTATTCACTGCCACACTCCAGATGTGACAATGTGGGAGTGGAAGTCAATGGTCAGCAATTACACTATGTTCGCTTTGCTGATGACATCGTGTCAAATGCGCAGCGTGGAGATCGCCGAACTGATGGTCAATGTTCTTCACTACAACCCTAGAGGAAAGGTATTGTGCTCAATGAGTCCCTAGAGCGAGCAGAAACCACTGGGCTATTCTTGCTCGCGACCAAGAAAAATGGGAAATTTTCTGGCACCCACTTGAATCAATCAACGATCAGCTTGACGATAGGTGATACAGGTGATGATGATTGCCAGAACAGTATATGCTTATATTTAACACTAAAAGTCAAAAGTGATTGTATTACCACCCATGCAGGTGGGATAATTGGTCGTTGTAAGTTGATATCAACTCATTTCCTCTTCAGTTATTTATTTCATTGCCTATAGGCTTCTTCCTGTACTTTCATACTTAACCATAGTTTATCGAGTATTGATCGCTATGATGTGTGTCTTAATAGGGAGAAAATATATCCCTAACTGGTTTTCTTGAAATACTGACCGTTGGACGCTGGTAACTTGTGTCAACGAAGCGCTTTCTTGGTTGTAGCTTTCGACAAATTGCGGTCTTGATAAGTTACCGACAAAACATGGATATCGTAAATGTTTCTGTTATCTTAAAATTTTGCCTATCAAACAAGAATAGACGAATCCAGTGCACGATTGACCATTATTGAGAGTTGAAGTTATTTTAGGTGGACTATTACAGTATACACGCGAGACTGAAATATTCTACAGCAGACGTAATGAAATTGCAACTGTGATTTGTCCTCAGGATGCTTGTGAAATGTACCTACTTTTCCTCTGCGATATTCTGTGGAGTAAACTCTTCGTGAACGTCTCACTGGAGTGGAACATAACCCCTTCCTTTTTAACTCCTTGTCATTGAGAATTTGATCCCCGATTGGTTCCAAACTTGTCTGGGAGGATAGCAGTAATGGCTCGATACATCGGTAGGGCACCGTTGGTCATTGTAAAGGCCAGATATGCATTCAATCACCTCCAACGATATTGATGGAGTCGAATGCACGGCGCATCCCTCAGGGATTGATCAACGCCGAGAGCTTAATCCCTTTATTTTACAAAGATGTGATTATAAATGCGTCGTTTTCTTGTTCAGCAATCCCGAAGTTATTATGCAGAATACATTTACTTCCATAGAAGAACACAATACAATACAACGCTAGCTGATGTTTCGGCAGTATCGCCTTCTGAGCCTGAAAGGGTATACTGACATGCAATCTACTTAGCCAAACGCTTCAATAACACTTACAAAAAGACGAAAAACTCTATGTTAATTACATGATCAACAGCTTCTCGAAACACTCACCGCTTTTAAAGTGACTTCCAATAAGGAAGATTAGAACAGCTGATTACAGTCGCATATGGTTGATGACTGCACCACCCCACATCAGAAATTGATCCGAAAGCACGGGGCCAGGTCGTGTGTGACCTCTGGGCATTCCTCCCTACTATTCATTGTAGGGTTTTTGGCATTTATCCAAAAAACCTCAAGGAGTTTTCGCGCTGGTGTTTTGGACTCCTGTGCAAGGATATTGACTTTTACTTCAGAATCTTCGATTATATTTGTAACTTTTATGATGTGACTTGTTTAGATGAATTTCTGCAGAACGCAATACATTCTGAATTAATTTATTAGTTCCTTAATGTACAATCTGTCTTCCTGGGTATGTTTGTAATGTGCATTGCAATATTGATATTTTTCGACATCTAGGTCACTTTCTTGATGTTTTTGTCGAGGAGTTTGGCCATCCCTTCATGGTATTGTTGTGTGCATTTGGCCCAGTCGAGAATATCAGCTACATGTAGTATCTTAATTTTCGGAAATCCATCCATTAGTGACGTTACCTGAATGTGCTAATTTCTCTAGTGTTATCATGAAGTTTATACTTTTAAGAATAAGCCGACTTCAGTAAGTTTTTTTTCAAAATCAGCAGCAGCCTTGTTGTAAGCTTTGGTCTTTGATTCTATGAGTTTCGGCTCTTTTGTCGCTCCGAGATCAGCTTTTGCGAAATCCATTTCCCTTCGTAAACTGTCCAACTCTGAATTTTCGCAAAATAAGTTTTTGTCCGAGAAATGGTTGATGGTAGCCACGTACCAGTACGCTGAAGTGCAATCACCCAGTATTCGTGTTGCACGAAACTGCGAATGTTGTGTAATGCGCGTCGTGCTCTCTGTAGGTAGTCACGGTGTTCTGTCGCTTGCCTTTGATACAAAGCTATTTGTTCTTTGTAATTCTGCAATTTGAATTGACGTATATGAAGGCTTACTGCAAACGTTCGCCTTTCTATGACACCATGGAGTGACAGAAACTTGGGCACAATTGTAAATATGTGGTGAAGAAAGGAATATTATCGGATTTTTTTATCCCGAAACGGATACCTAGCCCACTCATATGAACGAGTATTTTGGTCGAGTTTGATGAATCTCATTCTTCGATTATCGTAAGCAAAACAGTATATCGACTACTAATAGATTCCTGACGGTTTGCATTGATTTAAATGCGTACATGGTCAGGAGTAATTTAGTTTTTCAACTTCAATACAACTTCCTGTGAAGAGAATGTTTCAGAAAGCAAATTGAGGCTAAGACTTCATCATTTCCAGAACTTCAGACCTTTATGCAACCGAAATAATTCACTGTTTTCCTGATGAGCAGACACGAAGTTGTTCTTACACGATCTATTCACAATCGCTGAGGCTTTGTCGATTTACCCTTCTTCAGAGTCCGGAAAGGTCAAATTGACTTGTAGTCTACTCAGCCAAACACTTCCATAACGTTAGCAGATAAGACTTAACACATAAATTTGCATTCGCATAAAAAGCAGCTTCTTTTAAACACCCATTGTTTCGTTCGGTGTAAATCTTCCAGTTATTTGGTGGAAACCAGCCGCACAGAGTATTACTTGACTATTACACTTAATGTGTTTGGCTGAGTGGATTGCATGCCAATTTGACCTTTTCGGGCTCTGAAGAAGGCGAAGCCACCGAAACATCGGCTGATATGTGCTAATAAATGCTACAGTATCAACCTCGTGTTCGCTCATTGAAGAAGAACGGTGAAACTCGTTACTAATTGATACAAATGTGATGAATCTAATGGTTTTTATTTCGATAGATAGTGCTCATTATGAGTTTTGGTGTGCCACTCTAGGAGATGGAGGTCGAAATCCTGCATTGATTTCCAAACAACTTCGACTATGAAGTCTTACATCTGGCTGGTAAATTCGTATTCTATTGACTTTCGTTTCATGTAATGAGCTCCACTAGGAGCTGAGACGTGTTGATTTAAACTTTGGAATGGCGGGTAGACTATCACTTATCATGACGTGCATTGAAATCTATGCAGATAGGCATCGTATGTTAAGCTAATTTATTGTGATTTGTAAAAACACTAAAATCGAAGAAAGTTCACATCGTTAAGTAATATTTACACGATCAACCATGGTTAAATTGTAATCTTCATGGGCGTGTAAATCATTTATCTTTTCTTCTTTTTTTGTACTCGAGAGTGTACATCGAAACTACCGAACATGCGGGATTTCGTCCAGAGGGGCATAATTTTGTCCCCAAATGTTAGTCCGTAATATCGCGGTTGCATTAACAATTTTCTTCTGCATTATGTTGGTATTTTCAACGTTCTTTTAAAACTTGAAATAAAAAGTTTTAATTCAGAAGAACTATGTGTCACTTTGGGATGGGCTAAACTCTGAATTCCACAAACCTCCTAATACTTCAGTAAACACAACTTCTTCGAAGTTATTCCAAACCTAGCAATCAACACGAATAAGTTTATGAAACCAACCAACCCCTATATAAATGAAGTTCTTACGCTGTAATCTTCGAATGATTTGTTGCCTGTCAGACAAGCAACCACCATTTCATAGCGATCCTGTTCTGCAGGGGGTTCCAAATTTATTTTCGGTGCCTGAGTGTTGGGAATTATTTTGACAGTACTCAGCAAATCTCCGAACTACTGCGATGTCGAACTACTTAGCTGCCTACTTTAAAGCTAGCTAACTCGTCAGACTAACCGTAACGCGGAAACGGCCGTTCTCTTGTGTGGCTTTGTATAGAGCATCGCTTACTTGATCAAGACATAACTAGAAAATTGTACCGTTAAAGATAACTGCCACATTCCTGGTGTAGTTTAGAGCGGGTTTCAGCAAGTCGTTAAATGACAGCATTATGGGTTAAGTGACCAATTGAGATGAGGGAAATGTTGGACATACGATCACCTTATAGCGATCCATGTGTTCCATGGCGTCGCTGAGTTTTTTCGAAAACTTCGTACGCTCAGCAATACCAGCAGTCTCTTTCAGCCGATGGAAAAACTTCTTTATGGCACGCTTATTGTCATTTTCGATCTAAATGCCATTTCGAACATATATAACACTAGGAGGTGCTGTTGTGATTCTCGTACCTCGTTTCCATGTGTGACTACTCCTTTTCCAGTTTCCGTATATCCTGGACATTCATCCATTCTGAAACCGAAAACATAACAGGAGTCAGGAAATGACATTTTATAGTGGAAAGGGTTCGAAGCTTCAAGGTTCGTGCCAAAGATTGAAAACTGGTGCTGAAAATTTTCCAAAATTTTCACTTCTTCTACATTTTCACTTTGCTGTGCGTCTGAATTAAAGGATGAAGGAAGGATAAAGCTTTCGGTGTTGATCAACCATATCAACCATTATTGGATGCGCCGTGCACAACACTTCATCAAGTGTCGTTAAAGATGATTGGGTGCTTATCAGGTTTTTACAGTGACTCGCGGTGCCCTACCGACGTATCGAGCTACTGCTGCTATACTTAGAGAATCTGGTACGAATTTGCCTATCCGGAAGAGACGGAATACTTGGTGAGCACTGAGCCCGGGATCGAGCCAACGAACACGTGTGAATTGCAGAGCATCGAAAACTATTGCAATCCACGGCGGTCAGGATATATGCTGAGAAATCTTACAATCTTACAAGATTTTTCTTAGAATGAGGCACATATTCATTAAGACGAAAAGGTTTCTGTAAAATTTGCAGTTTTGCGTTGGAGGATTTTGTTGGGTTTGGAAAGACTTGGTTTTCATACACGTTCAACTTTCAAAGAGTAAAGAGAACAAGCTTATGGAGGTGAGGATCGCATCAGTTTGTGAATGAAACTCTTCCTCTTTCTTCCTTTTCTGTAACTTTGTTAAACTATTACTTTAGTTTTCCTCGTTTATTACTAAAGTATAACCGCGTAATATCAGTGTCTTGACTGGTTCGGCTTGACGTAAAAGTCTTCAATAATCCTTTACTTTACTTGCCCAAAGCCTGTTCTCTGTATAGGGATCTTTGAATTTGAACCAAATGCAATCGAAATGGCTAATTGTTAACTGTACAAAAGTTAATAATTCGAACCCGATGGGATCTGCTGAAGATTGTGTTTGTGTTTGGCTCTTGCCCTCTCTCCGAGTTTTTGTAGACATGAATGACGATGTCGGGATCTGAAAGCCTTTATCTTTGAATTGCGGTGAAATCCTGACTTGAATATTTGAACTTCAGTGTGAATTAGGATTTCGTCCTGATGCGCATTGATTTCAGTGGAAATGTGGCTGGTTGTGGTTGCGCTTTTCATAGTTCTTTGCTAATTAAGTGCAGATTTTTTCTATTCTACAAGGACGGAACTCTAATCTTCCCGGGACCATAAAGCTGTTTTTGTTTTTTTTCGTCGACGTTGGCATTTGAAACGGCGAGATGATTGGACCAACGGGATTTCATCTAGCAAATACCGACGATTTCCTAAAACGTACCGCTGATTTTTGCAGCTTCCGAGTTAGTTTCAGAAATTTTAAGCACCAAAACTTCCGTTTTATTCTTAAAAAGTCGAATTTTATATTGGCTTAAGATTAGAAAAATACTCTAGAGGAGGTATACGCCTTATGGTGATGAGACGGAGTCTATTCTATGACTTTTTACGTAATCAGGGACAATCACCTATGGACCATCGAGTCGGATCAATCTGGTTTTGAAGAAGGCGAAAGCATCAAAACGTTAGCCGAATAAATCTTTTTTATCAGCTTCGTGTTAGCGTAATAGTCCAAGAAAGTATCTATTTTATAAGGATGTCGAGTTCCCCGGCTCCTCAAATGCTGTGGTTATTAGAAGTCTACCAGCAATTAAAGGAAACCATCATCCTTGCGAATGTGTTAAGAATAAGTAAATCTAATAGTGTTGCTTTAACGGCATCTAGAGATGAGTCGTGAACAATAATTTTCCAAAGACGTTCCCTTCGAATTTACCTGAGTATTTCTGTGGTTTGACATAAAGCCTATGTAAAGGTGAGAGTTGATTGTCACTGTGGTCGTAGTAGTAATTGAAATACTTGGTAGTAAAGAAAAAGGATAAAGCTCTCGGAGTTGGTCAATCCCTGAGGGATGTGCCATGCATTCGACTTCACTAAGCATCGTTTGGAGGTGATTGAACGCATATCTGGCCTTTACAATGACTGGTGGTGGCCTACCGATGTATAGAGCCAGTGCCGCTATCCTCCCAGATAAATCTGGTAATAATATGCCTACCACGGAGGGACGGAAGGCCCGAAGGGCCATAGGCACGGGAGTCGACCCCACGTGTGTGTTGCCGGGCGCCACCGACCACTGCGCTACACACGCCTTTGGCACTTGTTAGTAATTGTAACTATTAATCAATGTCTGCAATCCGTGGAAATCTGTATTTCTTATCTGATTTCCTAGCATATTGTAACGTAGCTTAGATATTTTAAGCTACTTGTTAACTTTACCTGTTGTAAGAGAGAAATTCTCGCATTATGTCACACCAGGATGGTTTCGGGCGTAAGCTTTTCTTTCATGTCTTCAAAACATTAGTGGCGAAAAAAGTAGATGTAAGTATTTCAGCCATTCGAAAGCAGTTTCCAAATACTCCCTGTTCACCCAAGATGGGTAGGGAACACACTCGTGAGTATGCCTGGTGTACCGCGTCATAAGTTGGCGAACTACCTATGGTTGCACTCATGATAATACTTGATAAAAGAACTCATAGACATTGTCGTTTTGAGTAGAACAAGTATAAGAATTGCAATCTCTGCAGTTATAACTACAATCTCGACGGTTTTCTACGATAGCAAAATCTGGAACAGTTTATACAGTCGAACTGTATTTATGATGGACGCGATCCAACACCGAAGGCTTCTATGCAGTGCTTGGTGATATAGTGCTCAATACTACCGGGATTTCCGAGGCGTAAAAACATTGCCCATTAAACGCCGCTTCTAGTATCGGAAGGCCAACTACTCCACAGAGTATGAGATAGAAAGGAGTTGGCGGGTTGATCCATTCGTGCACGCGAGCTTGATCATGAACGCCGCATCATTTAAACTGGTTTTTTTTTTTATCCGACTCCAAATCTTGTGTGGATCTTGGTAGTCCTCGCATTCGATTATTCTGGAATAGCCGTACTAAGAAGCGTTGATGGAAGGAGTGGACTGCACTGCATAAGTCTATTATCAGTTTACCGAACCAGGAACGATCATAAGCCTAATTGGCCCAGTTCGGGGTTGAACTAGCGCACCCTCTCCTTTTATGGAGCATTAGAGATTGGAGTTGGACTACTTGAAAAGATATCCGGCTTTGACAGTTCTCCTCGTATATATCCAAATATGAAGCTGTGATAACGATGAAGCCGCGTTTTATGTAGGTGGAAGATTGTAAAAGTTTATCGTTACGACCAAGATTGGCTATGTTAGCGTCTACACTCTGCACTCTACGTCTACACTCTTAAGTAGGCCTACACTGGAGGATGGAGGTGAGAACTAGATGCATCTAAGCCAAGGAATGATCTTGTTCAGATTTTCTTCGTATTTTTGTTGAGCAAACGCGAGGTGTTACTATTCTTTGTTCACGGTTAAGCTGACGTTTCGGCGGATTTCGCCTTCTTCAGAGCCGCTTTCTATGAGGTTTCCACTAAGTATGTCACGTAGAGACCAACCGCACAGAAATCACGTGGAAGTATAATGTGTTCAGATTGTTCCAATAAGTTACTACGGATTGGCTCAATTGTGCAAGTTGTAGATTATAAGGTTGTACTTTAGTACGTGAAATGTAAAGATTACATAGTTGTAATGGTTCCATTTCTACGTAGATTCTGTCTGAAAGAGTGCATATTGTAAAAGTCGGAGGTTGTGATGATTACAGCATCAGTGAAAAGTCTTGTTCTAAATATTGCAAGCATGCCCATGCAAATTTCCTCAGAAATTCATTGTCTTATCGTCTCCATGAAAGGTCTCAAGCTCCGGATTTCTGTGCTTAGATTTCTGCCGTTGCTATCTGCGAGTTTTAAATCGGACGAATAAATTTCTCCGGAAAAGGGTTTTAGCAAATTAGTAGACGTATGACAGAGCTTTCCTCAGTCTACGTCCGCCACAACGCTCTTGCTGAGTAACCTAGTAAGACTGCAAGAAGTATAGTAAAAGAGCTTTGTGCGGAAAAATAGAGAAGAAATGAGTCACATATGGCTCATAATTTAACCAATCATGTTGTAAAATGATAAATGGACGGAAACTGCTACATTCGTCTCGCCAAAGTTCCTGTTAGTCCTTGTTATGATAACCCTCTAAATTACGTGGCATATTTCTGTGCTGTTAACTAGCGAAATTTTATAGATGGATAAAATACTTCCGATCGAAATTTCAAGTTCCTTTCGTAGAAGGGTATTGGCGTTATTTGGCACTGTTACTGCATCTGAATCCACCTAAACCGTGGTCAGAGGTCCTTACTATGTAAATTCAGTGCAAGCTTCGTCATCAAAATTTCTTAGGATTTTGGTTTCATATGTTCTTTACTATTATATTACGATACCATAGTTTAGAATGGATTGTTGGTATCATTAATGATGTTAGCAATACGAAAATGCTATGGTAGCATCAAAACGCGGGAACTCACACTAGATGGACACCCGTTAATGAAATGAGACTTCAAGTCTGGTTGTTCATAAAATGAATGTCTTGTAGATAGCAGACTGATTTTGATAGGCCGACCTTCACTGGAAATGCGTGTGTAAATCTGTGATTTGCCGGAATGATATCCAGTGAGATAAATTCTTATTGGTAGATTCAGTGTAATATACATTCATACTAATGTGTGCAGAGTAGCACTATCGCCCTAACAGTGGCAACGATAACAAATCGCATGAACCCCCGTTTTTTTCCGCTGTTTCCTTATGTTGTATGGTCAGTTCAATGGTTGGATTTGTCTTTTTTTTTTTCTTCACGAGAATCCCATCTCTAATGACTTTCCACTGATGGTTACGAATCGGAGAGTAATTTGCCACCGGACTACTTCATCATCGAGACAAGACTCCTTCCTACACTTCCTATTATGAACGGTGAACCGTAGAGGGGATTTTTACAAACTAACTTTGCCAAACTAAACCACTTCCGATTACGCAAAAAACTATTTCTTGGAGTCAAGTCTTATAAAAACCTATTCAAATTCTACTATCATTCGTGCTGGCACCTCACTGTTTAGATCTTTAGGTTAGTCGTTGCTGTGGATCACTGCTTTCCGCTAACCGGCAAAGGTACTGTAATGACTGGAACGGTAATTGATGGAACTGTACGGTGAGCTGATAAGTTTGCTTCCTTGTATTTAAAATAATGTTGTAGCTCAATTATCCTTCGGTATGATAAATATCACTGAATTACCGGTGCCTTTTTAGCTTGCTTCATCTGCGTGCGCTACAAGTACAGATCTCTAGTTAAATGCTCTCGGATTTCAGCAGCCTACAATGGCACAGAGATTTTAGCAATCCCTCTGTACTTGTCCTTCCATACGCTTCCGTATAGGGGGTCTTTTCGGGGTGATAGGACAAATTATTTTTATCGTTTGATCCTTGACACTCATGGATAGCTTGGCACGCTCCTGCTTGGGGCTAGAGGTACTCACGGGCAGCTCGCCGGTTTGTCTCAGAGTAGACATGGAGCTCATTTGTTGGAAATGACTCCTAACCACCTCATGTGTTTTCAGCTAACCTGATTGGATGCCTTTTCCGAAAAAACGGCTTTCGGTGTATCACCGGTGAATTCACTGTCACACTATTCTTGTTTACGTCCACAAAATTTTAGTTGTTTATCTTCGTTGCTCTTCAGCACACCTAACAGAAACCAGTTAGGGTCTCAACTAGAGGAATGACATTCCAATTTACGGTGAACTTTATTAATTAACGCAAATATCGTTAGGATCTATGTCACTGTTCTAACTATATTCAAGTCTTATCGTTTTTTCACAGTGAAGTTTTGACTTCTAGGAACCCACAAGTGTTTTCTTTCACCTTTTTTGTCTTTGAGACTCAAATCCAAAAAGCGATGGGATGCACCATAGCTGCTCGAGGCTGATGTGGCCACGTTAAAGTTTTTTTTTAAAAATTCGAGTTTCCTCCGTATTTTTTGAATTACCGGGCAAAGTTAAGATAAAAATAAATTTTTCCAAAGATTTTGAAGCTCTTCTACTAGATCAACTCAAAATTAATGGCCGATTTTCAACGACCTTTGTAACAACGATGTTACGAGTTAGCTAGAGCACAACCTTATTAATCAGCATAAGAACCGTCAGAACTTTCACATATTGACCAATAATATGTATACTTCTTTATTCTGATGATATGAAGCCCTGAAGCCTTGGAAGTGACGAATTCTATTCTGTACGCATCTCTATAATATACTCTGGTTTAGGCTCAATCAGGAAATCGAAATACCTGCTTTGAAGGAGAAGAAAAAAGTGAAAGGACTTGAATCGTGGAAAAAAGCGGTTGAGCAGGTGAAATTTTGCACGGACATGATTTCCTACTTCGTTATTAATTTTTTGTGCTTATCAACGACCATCGTCAATAACAGCACCTTCCCCTTTTATTTCTTAATCATAAATTTAGCAGTATTGAAATCTCCAAGGAATAGGTATTATAATTTACTGAGATACAAGTATATTAGAAAGGTGATTAAAAAACTAGCTGAGAGAAACGCAAAGCAAAGGCGTCAGTGGTGCATTGGGTGACACGTGAGCCATTCGAAAGGGTAATCGCAGATTCCAATCTGGCCTAGGGTCCAAGTTTTGCACATTTGTCAGCGTCAAAGTGGTGTATTTCATATTCTCAGTGTATTCCACGTAATACCTTATCGTAAAAAAAACAATAGGCTGTAAATAAAATGGTACACATTATGTTAGAAATGTCCACTTTGAAAGAAAGAGGTTTCAGGTTTCGGTTGGTGAACGAGCGGCAATATTGGTACAACAACTGAGAGCAGATTCTATTTCACGAACTATGAGTTAGTATTTTTATCGCCCTTATTTAGTCTCATGACTTACAAGGTACAGGTAGAATTGAGGGGAAGCATGTGGCGCAGTGGTCAGAGGCGCCCTGCAATACACACGGTATCGATTCCCACGCCCCTAGCCTACCAAGCCTTCCGGGATCACTCCGGGGTCGGCAAATTGGTACCAGACTTGTCTCTGAAGATAGCAGCACTGGGTCGATACATCGGTAGGCCACCGCAAGTCATTGTAAAGGCCAGACATGCATCCAATCACCTCCAAATGATGCTAAATGAAGTCGAATGGATGGCGCATATCTTAGGGATAGTTCAACGTCGAGAGCTTAATCTTTTTAATTGTAGAAAATGTAATTGTTATACTTGTTCTACTTAAAACAAGGTGTCTATGAATTTTTTTTAATCTCTGATTATTACGGCACGAAGGTAACCATGGGTAGGAAAATTAAGTGTTACACCTTTGTCACGAAAATCGGCATATTTAAATATCTATTTGCGAAGAACACATGTTGTTAGGAATAAAGCTGTCACATACTTATCATTACTAGCATAATGATTTTTAAATTGCTATTACTTACTATGTGCCTTCTTGACTGTCTTCATTTCCAGTTTGCTCTCCAGGAGCTCTTGTCGAAATGAGCTCTTGCATTGCATCGGTCGAGGCCATAAAATTCTACCGTGGTGTTGTGTCGTCTGGCATGAAAGTACATATTTCTGTAGGATTCGATACGATAATGGCGGAATGCCAGTTTCTGAGGTCTGAAGGTGACGAATACGAGCAACTTCCCCGCCTTGAACCTCCGTGCTTATGTTGGTTGATATTCAATCGGGCGATCTACACTCGTCCTTGTGCCTTTTATATGGCCTCAAAATTGGATCATCAGGGTCGAGGATGTCGCTTTTTGTTCCATGGTCAGTTCGGCGACTCGGTAAAGGAGCGCAAAATTCGTCGTTTTATTCGACGACAACGAGTTGGTCGTGTAGAGAGAGTGGAGAATGTGAGAAGCATTGTCTGCAATTCCTTATTCAAGAAAGAGACAAAGATTAGTGCTTTTGAAGGCATACCGGTCATTCTGAATACGGGAGAGACTGGAAAGATAGTGGGAGCTTTCGGAAAAGGTGGGAAAGTCCGAGTAGAGATGACCACGCTGTTGTTGGAATCGACTGTAGAGAAGATCGCTGCTGATGAAACCGTGGAAGTATCTATGTATTTGAAGAAATATCTAGGGGAGAAGAAGATCGAAGGCTACTTGCCTAGCGGTTTAGCCTAGATGTTTTTAGTCAAGGATAAATAAGTTGCTAAAGAAACGACATTCGTAAGGAAGTAGAACCAGATAACATCAGTGCATAAATATCGAGCAGTCCATCACCAAGTGTGTTACGTCCACTACAGCTGACCTCAACTAAAAAATAGTTAAACAGTATTAACCGAAGACCATACCGTACGTCATGGGTCAACACATTCCTCAGGATACTTCATTTTGTGTAGTGCCCGCACCAGAATACATGCAATTTGGCGGGATACACACTACGAATCATCTGCTGATTTCGTACGGCCTGTTTTCTCACCTCCTCCTCTCTAATGGAAAAGTGACCACACAAGACTTTTTAGTGCTATTTATTCGGCTTACCTTTGGTGTGTGCTTCTAGTAATGTATCCTTCTCTTTACGTTCTACCTTATACTTCTTCCTTCTGGACATCTTTTTAAACATTTTGGAACTGCTGTATGTGATGGAAGAATGTTTCATCCAACATCTAGTTGTGTATTGATATTCTCTAATTCCCCTTTTTCGTGGAAAAATTCTTGTAACTTATAAGGAGTAGATTTTCCCGGACCACGACGTTCACAATGTCTGTAGTAGGTGAGTAATCGATTGAAGACGTAGGGAAAGAACTCTGTGAAGTAAAACAGGGACCGAAAAGTCAGTAAAGTGTATATAGTTTGTATGATCGCTGTTGAGTTAAATGTATTGTCACTTAGGAGGAAAGAAAGTAGCTGTAGTTCAGCTCGACGTGTTTCTTTGATGTCTTTACGGTTGTTCTAATGAATGTACCAGTACATTTTCATCTTTCAATTCATGTTGTACTCTCTTTTTCTTTTCCTTCCTTTGTTCCATTGCTAATGATTCCTTTGGATAGTTGGACTAGGTAGCGATTATTTGGTTATATCTGTTATGTTCGATTTGTTCCCGCATTATCCCAATATGAGATCATTCCCTTAGAAAATAAAGCCCGTTCTTTGGTTTTTCTGAAATGTCGTCTTCTTAGTGTTCTCACAGTGCTTATCTCTTATCTCAATATAGGAGAGCTTTAGTGTGTGGATGAATGCAGCATATGTACCGGTGTCCCATAACTCGATTCGCTGTGCAACAACTGAAAACTGGTATATTTTGTCGTCAGTTCCGGACAAGTCCGTTGGTTTCAAGTCAAGAAGTTGGCGATGATGGTCTACCAAAGGACTACAAGTTGAGAACGTTGAAAGCTGGAAGTCGACGTCTTGACACGTTTGTCAACCGAGCCAGTGGAATGAGTAGCTCGTTAGTTATTTGTAAACTGTTTTTTAGTTATTGTCGCAATCTTAACCTTTTTATTTACTGCCCATTCTTTTTAACGCAGGGTATGTTGCGAAATATAACTTGAATGATGCTGAGATATTTGCAAAACTCCGGACCGCAGGTGTCTGCGGTGGGGAACCAACGCGCTGTTGTCCTTTCCGGGAAGTAACGCGTTTACATATCATGCGGGTCCTTCATTTCTCCTGTCTCTCAGCTAGTTCTATTGATCTTTTTGCCACAAGCAATCACCCGTCAACGGGATTGATCTAAGGCACCCAAATCGACATTGAACCCAGTTAAGCTGAGGCTGTAGTTTTTTCTTTTGACGGGTGATTGCTGACGGCAAAAGATCGATAGAACTAGCTGAGAGAAAGGCGAAACGCAGGACCCGCATAGTGTGTTGGTGAACGCGTTACTCCCTGGAAAGGACATTGGCGCGTTTGTTCCTCACCGCGTACGCCTGCGGTCCGGAGTTTTGCAATTATCTCAGAATCATTGGTGTTTTCTAGTTGTTTATGAGATCAAGTTGAGTTGTATTTGGGAGTTTTTCCTGTTTTTGTTCTCCCACGCTGAGGCTTTAGGAAAGTAAGAAGGCCCGAATAATTTAACTAGGCGATGGAGATCCATTAGCGCGGCAAATATTCTGGCAACCAGAGGCGGGTCAGAAGCGACTGGGCACATCGCATGACGTCAGAGCACAATGATGGAATAAACTCTATTTCGGTCCTGTGTCGAACGGGATCTACTTTATATGCCAACCATTAACGTAGGAGTATGAGTAGCACTGTGCTATTTATATCTCATGAACTAACGCTCAGAAGCGCAGGAGGAGTAGCGGACGGAGTTGTAGGCAGTGGAGGTGATAAATTCTTCCGATTACACAGGAGGAGCTGGAGCATCCCGTATTGTTCTCTCTGCTGTGATTATTGTTGTGTGACGGGCAACTTCAACAGTAACTGCCACGACCGACTTTCTATTAACCTCGGCATTGATCAAGTGATTTTCTTCGTATTTTTGTTGAGCAAACGCGAGGTGTTACTATTCTTTGTTCACGATTAAGCTGACGTTTCGGCGAATTTCGCCTTCTTCAGAGCCGCTTTCTATGAGGTTTCCACTAAGTATGTCACGTCAGCTCATCCTCATAGAAAGCGGCTCTGAAGAAGGCGAAATTCGCCGAAACGTCAGCTTAATCGTGAACAAAGAATAGTAACATCTCGCGTTTGCTCAACAAAAATACGAAGAAAATAACTTCAACAGTACTGATTTCTTACTGTTCATAAGTGTGATAGTTTGCAGGCAAACAGCGAAACTTATACTTAGTGGTCGAGTGCGTGTCAACGAAGATATTCTTACCAAGAGATCGTATAATGTAAGTGATCTTTACTCTCTATAGTTGATATCTCATATATCAGGGACGCGTGTGGTGCAGTGGTCGGAGGAACTCTGCAACACACGTAGAACCGATCCTCGCGGCCATGGCCCACAAAGCTTTCCATCCTGCTGAGGTAGGAAAATTGGTACCAGACTTGTCTGGAAGGATAGCAGCACTGGCCCGATACATCGGAAGGCGACAGCGAGTTATTGTAATGGCCAGTTATGCATTCGATCGCCTCCAGACGATGCTTAATAAAGTCGAATGTATGGCGCATCCCTCAGTGATTGATCAACACCGAGAGTTTTATCCTTTTTTTTGTAGTTGATATACTACAGTTATTCTTTAGAATAAATTGCATGAAACCGTGTTTTATTTTCCAGGTACGAAAAGAGGATAGCATTGATGTATGGGTTGGACCCTGTCCAGAAAACAGTAACTTCGCAGAAATAGAACGACACGAGGTTCGCTGGTTCAGATTTTTTTTTTCGCTTTTACCAAGAACTGATTGCAAAGTCTTTCAGGTGCGACAATTCATGTTTTAGAAGCGTTTTGCTAACTTACTTACTTGGATACTTGGATGGCCTATCCTCACTGGTTGTGCTGTTCCCAGCATAATCTCCATTTTTTCGGCGTTTTGCTGGTTTTACTTTTGTGGTTCCCTGGAGTCCCGAGGTGAGCCAGGCCAAAGTCTGCCCCAGGTCGTTACCACCACAGGCAGTGACCGTCTCTGTGGATCAGAGGGAGATTTCCCACCGTGTGACTAGTTTGGTACCATGACGGTGACAAATCCTGGTATTGATTTGCTCTTAACTGGGCTTCCTAATGGAAGCGTCGTTCTCCTTCTCTGATTAGGTGGCCTGGCCAGAGGGATAAATCCCACCGCTGTACATCGCTACCCGACACCCAAGAACACCGCCAGCCAAGATGAGGTAGTAAACCGTTGGGAGTTCAGTTTTGCTAACTTAGCCTTCGTTAATGCGCTTTCTTAATATTCCTCTGTGTAGCTGACCCGAATAATCGATTGAAAGTTTAATCTTATTGGAGAGAACTTTTCTGCTTTTCTAGCTACATATTCGTGCAGTTCATATTCCCCGGTTCCTCAGCGAATTATAGATATAGGAAGGGCGACATTTCACTGCGTCATTGAAGAAAAAATGGGATGTTATTTCTGATCTTCCTGATGGGTTTTTATTGCAAGTATATGAAATCTGTCCAGCTTATTGCTATATTTATTGCTTTATAGTGTGAAATGAACTAAGAGTAGTCACTTTTTATTTACTGGCCATTCTTTTTTTTTAATGGCAGCGTATTATGTGAAATATAACCATAGTTATGCTGAGATATTTGCAAAACTCCGGAGCGCTGGTATCTGCGTGACGACCGGAAACGCTATTACCCTTTTCGGAGGCTAAGGGGTTCACTGCCACACCATGCGATTCCGTTTTGGTTTTCTCTTATCCGTGTTATTGACCCATACGTGATATCAGCAAGCGTGAGGGTTAATTCTTATTCAGTTTTATAATAAGCGCTATAGCTGTTATGGATGAACAAGGCATTTTTAGTGATTTTAGTGCTTAGTAGTCGCAAATTAGCGTGGATTTCATGAGGAAGTTACTATGACTAAGAAATATTCAAGAAGGAATTGTGCTTCTATTTTTGAAAGCATCTGCTATCAACGACGTGTGTAGGAGACTACGTTGTAGCCTCTCAGTAACAAAGTACGCATCATTTTTTTTCAGGTTGTTAATTATGATGTGACAGAAACCGGCTATGACATTCAAATAAAGTCATGGAAGAAGTTTTTTGTTGAGAACTGGAGAGGATCGTAGAAATTTTGTGATAGTATCGCTCATCGTCTAGCTGTATGTAATAGTATTGTGAAATCATGACATTCTGATCTGATCGTTCATCGACTTTTTCGATTTGAAATGATTTAAGGTTTCATTTTCCACATTCTACTTTTTCTTCTAGAGAAAATTCCACCAGTATTTTTAATTATATATTGTCGGAAAAAGTGCTGTGTTAATGTACTATTCCGTATTCGGAAATACATCTAAACTTTTGGATCGCCACGAATCTTCCTTCTTGAGAGTTAATCGCTCGATTACGTGGCATTTACCACGAAATTTTACCATGATGAATACGGCGTTAAATGTAGTTCAAAAGACGCTTTGTACTCGCTTTGAGGCGCAAATAGATAGGTTCTTTAAATTAATTCATCGTTTGTGATATGCAGGGTTCAGATTTGTTTGTTCATTTAATTGACGTTCAAACACTTAGGAAAACGCGCTGAATCACAACTTTCTTTATCACTTATATCTACCTGCGTTATGTGTAAACACAAAGGCATCGTGAAGCGAAGACGATGACATCATAGGGGAACAAAAGCAAAGGGAAGAAATAACGTCTTCGGAAAGTAGCCGTTTTCAGTCTTATTTAGCCATACTTCAGTAATTCACTATGGTTCTATGTATGTCTGTCACGATTCTACTCAATTCTCGCGCTATCGTTTGTTCTCATCACTGCGTTCCCACTGAAGACGCTCAATGGGTTTTCTCTTGTCCGCACGTTTTTAACCACATATTCGTACTATTCCTATCTCAACATCTTCACTACGTTTAATATCCGTCGCTATCGCTAGCTTGACAACGTGAAATTTTCACATAAAGTGTACCAAGGATGGCATTTGATATAGCGATACTAGAGGATACGGTAAATGTCAGGAGTAAACGATAAAGTCAGCAAGCATAGCTAATTTTCTTTGCAAATTGTGCATATAAGATGATTTATTTGTATCAGAAGGAAGCCTTGAACAAGTAAAAAGTGGTAACAGTTGAAGGCACTTTGTGAAGAGTTCGTCACGATTGCTTTATCTGAAGAAATACAGAACTTGTTTCGTGGACAGTAAGATGGTGCTATGCTTCCTCATTCACATCCACATTATATCACTGCAGATCATTTCTTAGTGAGCAGCCCGAATGAAAAGTAGTTGACGTTTTGCTTCTTCAAATTCCATAAGCACCTTCATAATTCTCCAGTAGAGATCTGATCTTATGCTGAAATGCAACAGTTCATTGGGAGAAGGAATATTCACTTAAAAAGAAGTGCAATACGCTAAAGAACATGTATTGGATTATTAGGAGAGATTCTGAGAAACAAATTCTACGATGTGTCGAAAATATGGTTATGGCGGTGAAGATCTTCGGCTTGTTACATGGTTTTCGAGTTGTCACTCTACTAATCGTTGGATTCGCTGCGCTCACAAGAATCAAGGTTGTTTCGGAGAAATCGCAGACCACTACGGATGCTGAGAATCTGATGATGTCCTACCACGTATATACCGGTGTTCCAGGAAACCATTCTCGACCATCGTGCCAATGATATGGTAATGTGATTGTACAGATCAGCAAGGTGAAGCCAAACAGAAGTACGAATCCAACCCCATTCACGAATGGCGATTGCTAGATAGCGATTCGAGCAGTGGATGTATGGGACCCACGGGGCATGCGATGTTTTGCCATATAAATGTAGCAAGTAGGCAAGAAATTTAGTTTGAAAATTCTGTACTGTTAAAAAAAATTTAAAAATGGAGTTCTGATGGAGTAATCTAGAATATTAAAAAGTTGACAACAGGTCCCCTTCCTGTATGTTTTTTTTTTGTCGCGCCAACACACGATTCTGGGCATCAAATTACTCAATACAATAAGTGGTTTATCAATCAGGCACTGATGAAACCAAAAATCCAGGGGGAATTCGATGTCTTCAGTCAAAGTTACTCATAGGAAGTTGTCGCCGTCGATTTAGGTCTTCAGGATCTAGGTGTCCACCATCTATGTCCACGAGCCTGCTAATCGCATCGATTTCCACGTGTTCGCCTCACAAGAAACAAACATGGACACCGATAAACACCAACTAAACAAAAGGGCCGTTGTCATCTGTGGAGAGAAGGTCCCGTCACAAAATGTCAATGGCGTGGACTTTGTCGTCCATCTATCATTGTCCATTTTGTAGACTCGTATGGGTTCCATTTCTTTTGCATGACCTTGCCCCGTCTCTAGTCAACGCGTCATAGGACAATAACTGTCATCAACTGCTACTCGATGCAGCTGATGAGTACGAATTAGAGCGTTCTACTGTTAGTTGGAGGGACTTCTTCGCAATGATATAGCATACTAGAAATTTATTTTCGGAGACTTCAACGCCAGAATAGGAAAGACCTACGACAGCGAATACAGCATCGGGAAATTTTGAATTAGGAGAATGAAAAGGGAATGGAAATGGGAAACCGTTTTCTAGGACTCCTGTCTGTAGCGCGCATCTTCAACTCGTTTTTCCATGAGAAAGGAAGCCAACGATGGACATAGAGTATTCTAACGGCACGAGTCATATAGAGGTCGATCATATTCTAACAATCAGAAGATGGTCCATACTTGATAGATCGGTAGTCCTATCATTCTGTACTGGGTCCAATCACAGCTTTCTTTGCGCGAAGATTCAATTCAACAGTAACCTTGAAACGAATTTGCGGCATCGACAATGAAGAGAAACTCCAGACGTGACTGGCAGATTGAAGAAGACCCAACCGAAGACAACGAACTAATTGCCAAAGGACTTAAAAGTTAGGTCGAGGAAAAAAGGGGATTGGAACTTGCTCCTACTGAAACCCAATACGGCTGTTATTAAGTGCCAGTTGCAGAGGAGCTTAGCAAGGAGGTCCATATCGGTGCAAGTAGAAGAACCTGTTAGAGGCGCCACAAAAAACAACCGGTGTGAATGAATGTCATCGGGACTTCTGCGAGTATAATGTTCTGCTGTCAGCTCTAATGAACGATGATGTGACCGTTAAGATTTCAAGCCATGAGATCGAATTAATAACGAGGAAGTTCTGCATCAACTCTTTCCGTTCCACAATCCCTTTCCTAGTCCAAATCACACGTGCTTTTGCCGAATTATGTAACATCATTTTCAAAAGAACAGAATCCCAGACCGCTGGAGGTCGTCATTATTACGTCGGGACGCAGCGCGTTGAGCAACAAGGATGTCGACAGGGATTTTGATGAATGGACCACATCCAAACTGTGTTCGGGGTTATTGAAGTTTTTTAGGAATACCACGTACCCGTAGTCCTAAATTTTATCGACTATGAAAAAATGTCTGAAGTATCGAAACGAATGAAAACCTATCAGCGCTCCTTGACCAAGGAATGTATCCCGATTTCTATGTAAATGTTATTGGAACTGCACTGCGAAAACTCAACTTTTCCGTTGCCCTCTTGCTATTACCGTAGGAAAAAGGATTCGAAGTTGACTCTATATCGCCAAAGTTGTTTAGTGCCACACTGCAGTGGACAACGAAGTCCTTTGATTGGGATGACGAAGACATACGTATCGATGGAAATACCTCTCAAGTCTACCTTTCGCCGACAACGTCGTCGTTTCCTCAAGAAGTATCAACGAATTACGGACGATGATCAGTTAGCTCAGCGAAGCGGGAACAATGATTAGACTACGGTAACTAAAGTCAAATACCTGTACTTGCAGCTACAGTTGTCTTACAGATAAGATATGAGACGTGCACCTCTTACCATGCTCGAATCAAACCACCACCATGGACGATGATTGTGAGGCAAGGAAACGAATGGAAAATGTGCTAGCGTCCGCACAGTTCATGGCGACGGGCCGTCCAAGTATTCAATCAAGTAAGATTAAGGTTTCAGGAACCAGTATGTGATGAGTCATCATTCGACCCACATTTTTGGCCGTTTTCTTAAGGTAAGATCTGCTATGACACCAATCCGAGGGCACAGGAAAAACCAAAAAAACGTGCTGAACTAGTAAAATCTCATCGCAGTGGAAACTGTGCTAGTGCAGATGCGAGCTGTAAGAAATTACCACTCAAATAGCGAAAAACGATAAAGCTATCTAGTAAGACTATTGATTAGTGCTTTGAAATTCGAAAATTTTTAACAGTGTTTTCTTCCTACCCCATTCTTCCAAACAGCGTTCCATATTTTATATGATTGAGCGTCTCACGAGAAATGTATTCTCGTTTTTGTATTATGCTTGTGATCGTAACATGTAGAGTGCCTGACGACTGCGTTGTCAGGCCTGTTCGTGATATCACACCATCCTGAAGAATAAATTAGTAGGAACGGGGAAAGGAACAAAGACAATAGCAGACTAAAACAGAGTAATGACAGGAGAATTCGGAGTGAACTGAGAGGAAACGAATGGTATATATTTATATATACTAGATGCCCTACAATATTTTTTTCCATTTGGTGGCTAAAGGTGCACTAAAATGCACACATGGCTGCTACTTCGATCTTTTTTTCCCTAATTCACAAACTCTTCCCCCAGCAATGTTGGCGAATTCAGAGTTGTCAGGATGATTAAAAAACGCTGATGTCATAGATCGACAGGACGACGTAAGCCATTTTTATAGGCCGAGTATGGATTAATTCACTATGAGCTGAATTGATCATAAACCTTTTCTCGACTATCAAACGGAGAAGTTTGGTGCTTGCAGCAACGGTGCTCCCAGCCCCAGCTGCACTAGTGTAAAATCGTCACTGCTACAATTAAAAACCTCGTAGTTGGGTCCTCCCAACGGTTTACCGCCTCATCGTGGTTCCTTGGTGTCGGACTGCGGTGTACAGCGGGCGGATTCATCTCCTTGGCAGAGTCTCCCAAGTTGAGGAGCCTGGCGTTTCCATCAGGAAGCCTAGCTAAGAGTAAACCAATACCAGAATCCACCACGGTCCTGCTATCAAAGTCACATGGTGGCAAACTTTCCTCTGATCCACAAGGGCTGCGACTGCCCGTGGCGGTGGAGACCTGGGGCGGGCTTTGGCCAGGCTAACCTGCGAATTCGGGACAATGCGTTAACCAAAAAATCTCCGGAAAATGAAGCCTATGCTGGAACTGGCACAACCAGTGAGGACTGGCCGTGCAATTATCAAGTATCAAGTAAGTAGGATCTGAGTCACATGCAGCTGTTCGCCGTTGATGTTATGAACATTTGCTGGTCTTCTATTGAAATTTCGATCTCATTAGTGGCTGGCAAGCATGCTTTGGAAAGTCGGAGTGCACAGAACAGGCATTATTTTGCTTATACGAGTGGTAAATTCTGGAATTGTAGCGGTTACAGCTTTTCCCAAACTCTAATCAGGAATCTATCTGGACTTATAGTTAATGGAAAAGGATGAAACCACATGGAGGTTCCGGCAGTGCACCTACTATCCATTATACTACTTAATACAAAGCTATAAGTCTAAAACGTAATTTTATTACTACTGTAGTTTAGTCTGGTACCTAGTTTTCCGTAACATCATAGTGTTTATCATGAATGGAGATTGACATTGTCTAAGCCATTGTGACTTGTGTGCAAGAAGCTTAGTAGAAAAGCAGAAAGTTCAGCCAGAGGAAAACTCTTCACAGTCATGTCAAATATTGTCGAGACGCCACAGTACAGTTGCAATAGCCCTTGTGAAGCTATGTATTATGTTAAATGAGAGTGTAACCGTTATGATTGCAATAAATTATTGGAGGATAAGTGAAATTCACTGATTGGATGAGTAGTCTCTCAAACTGACGAGGTGTTGATTTTTTTCCTTCATGGGAAAGAAATTACTTAACCAATTTTATCACTTTTCCTAAACATGCAACAAGAACTATCCCCCTATTCCGATACCAAACAAATGTCGAGGAACAGTGCCGTTACCCAACGCACCGTATACCTAAAGACTTCCCAGTGCAGAAGTTCTTTAACGAGATATGAACTCGCCATTGTGATGTGTTTCAGTCAAATAAAAACGATGGCGTTTTTACAGTACTTGGTCATCAAATGGGATTCTGTAAACTATAAGCATACAGAATCGGTTAATTGATTGTGTGTGCAATTTTTGTTGTTAATCAATAGAATGAAGCTCAAACCTTTTCTAAGTTAAAGAAATCGATATCGATCGTCTGACCGATGAAGAACTCACGTAGTTCGCTGACGGCATCGCCAGTTTTTATAGGTCTCCAGCATTCAATTCGATAGTCTGTTCTATAATTTGTTACACTTCTTCCTATGTTAATTTTAAATTTGATGATACAAATGAACGCTACTCTTTCACCTTAGCAAAGTGTGGGGAGAAATTTAGGACAACGGATTGGTTAGTGATAAAATGATTCTTTATCGATATAGAGGTATAAAGACATAAAGCTTCTGAGCACAATCAACTCCATCTGGGAAGTATGAAAGAGTGTTCGCTGTCGAAACGTGCATATCAAGAGGTTGGATCTTCAGACTTCCAAAATAACCAATTTGTGTGCCAGTCTACGTTGTAAACAACTAGTAATAACTACAATTATTTGTACCTTCCAGGCGTTAGTAGTACTGTAAGGCAGGCGTAACCGGCTACATATTGACGACCCCAGAGATCTTCTGAGCGCACCCGAAATCGTGCGTGAAATCGAGACATGTCGGTTGCTTGAGCGACAAACTCGATCGGCCAACAGAAATGGTATCGTCCGTCCTGAATGTGTATTATGTAAATAAATGAATGAATAGTAAAATTTTGTCGACATCGCTCTCAAGTCGTTAACGGGCTATTCTCTGCTGTCCTGGAAGATCTATATTCACAATTCACAAATGGAAGCGTTTGAAAGAAAGAAGAGAGAGGAGAGGCCACCGCTTCTCAAGGCGGCTTAGAAATAGTCTTTTAGTAAGTGAAGCTCCAGCAAAATTTTTTGCAAAAATCTGTCATCGAGGCAAGTTAATACCAAATTAACATCAAAGATGTCAACCTGTTATTTGCTGCCTACTTTAATTTTTCACGCAGGGTATGATTGGTCGAATTGTGACGTGCGAGGAGAAGTGGGTTTTGTATGACAACGGGCGGCGTTCAGCTCATTGGTTGGGTTTTGATTTGGCTTCACGGCATTTCCCAAAGCCGAAATTGCACCAAAAAAGGTTCTGGTGAGCGTTTGGTGGTCTGCGGCAGGGCTGATTCATCATAGCTTGTTGAATCCGGAAGAAACGATTACGGTTGAGAAGTATTGCCAACAAATCGACGAAATGCGTCATAAACTCCAACAACAACGCCCGGCATTAGTCAACAGAAAAGGGCCAATCTCCACGAAAACGTTCGGCCTCACGTTGAGGAAGAAGCGCTGCAGAAGTTGAAAGAATTGAGGAGCTACGAAACTTTCCCTCATCCCTCATATTCATCAGGCCTCTTGCCCACCGAATATCTCTTATTCAATACAAGCACCTTGACAACTTCCTGGACGAAAAATGATTTACCAACCAATGGCACAAAAATGCCTTTAACGAATTCATCGCTTCCAGAACTCCTGAATTATGCTGGAAAGAATGTGCTGATTCTAATGTGCTTATTTCGATTAATGAAAGGTATTATAAAAAAAGTTATGGTTATTTAAATTTACTTTTAAAATGGGATATTTTATATGTTACAACTTGATACTTCGGCAAATCTTAAAAATCGCTACTACTGTTGCTTCGCACTCGATCTACTTTCATTCGTCTATCCAACATCTAAAATATCACTATCATATCTACCTTATCACTGAAGACAAATATGTAATCTATGTTCCACTAATCTTCCTTATACGATGGTTGTCAACTCTGCGTTTCGCAAGGACTCATTGTCGATTATCGCATGGCAAACAAGGTTAGACAATGGGATAAGGTGAACAGTAACTTCACTCATATCTCATTGGGTTGCTTAGGATTCAACCTTGCACTGACGCAGTCACATTCAGCAAAGGATTCGCACGGTAATTCTAGAGAGCGCAACAAGCTCTTCGTCAGCAGACCTGTCAAACAAGTTACAAGTTCACAGCCTACCCATGACTAGCAACGCATCGGAAAAATGGAAAATAGTAAATCTTTATAGGTAGACAAAAGGGCGCGTGTAGGGCAGTAGCTAGAAGTTCCCTGAAATACACAATGGATCAGTCGCTAGATTACGCGCCCAGAGCTCAACATACTTTCTTTGCCTGCAGGGTGAGTAAATTCGTACCAAACTTTTCTTGGATAATAGAAACAATAACGTGGACCACTGAAGATATTGTGTAAGCTAGATATAAGATCCGCACGTAGTCACCTCTGTTTTTCAAGAAAGCCGAATGGATACCATATTCCCTGATTAGCGCTGGATCCTTTCTCTCTTCTGTACATTTGTTGAAAAACGCTGATGCTCATCAATACCTTTCGAGCCAACGGATCCAACTTTGCAACCCCAACACCCTACTATAACGAATAAAGGTATATCTGTGTCCGTTTGAGTTAAATGACGACTAACCGCATTAGAAGCGATGTATCATTAGAATATGCCAATTACTCCTCACCTTTCCCGCTGCACAAGCTGAGGTCTGCCCTTCTGTATTGCCCGTGGTACACGTTAAATCATCAGGAAAATAGACTACGTATTCCACCCATATGCTGCTGTAGTCAAAGTGACTACCGTAATCTGAAAAGCATATGTTAATTTAAACCATTTTAATTTTAAATTTTCAGCGTCGAGTCAACCAATATCAAAACAGTGTTTTCGTGAAGAATTGCACATGAACGATTTTACTACAACCACGCACCAATACACATCAGACACACAACTTTGACTGATTCCTCCTCAGGTAGTTCAAATAACTGAGTTTCAGGTAGGTTTGGAGAAACCTGAAGAAATACGAAGTGCTATGAAAATTCTCAACCAACTCTTCTATTTGCCTGAAATTTATAAGTTTTGGCAATAGGTTCTACGATAATGCCTATCCTTTATAAAATTTGCTGCTCACATTACTCTCAGATTTTATTTCTGAAGCTTAATAACCACTAAATGTCGTAAATACAACAATACGAGCGTATTAGTATGTAATGAAGTCACAACCTGAAGACATAAGTGACTTGCCTCATCTGTTACTTCGTTAATCCTCAATGACGCTGTAGCTTATTGATAAAGGCTCGTAGATCTCTACGATTTATATTTCCAAGACCAAAGATTCTCTTGTTAAACACATACGCGACTATATCTACTTATCTCCGCCTGTGTTTTTTATGAAAAGGCTCGGCTAAAAGTGTTTTTATGCAAACTACGAAGTTCAGGGAATAGCTTCTCAAGGGCCACGCCTGAAACAATGTCTGTGTTGGATGAGCTGCCGATTAAATGAGAAAAGTACAGCAAATAAGATCTTTGCAACAAACGAAATAGAAAGTCGGAAGGAGTGCACTGAAATTACTGAACAGCGGTCACTAAGCCCACCCACGTTTGTGATGATATAAATGCATGCAGTCACTTAAGGGTCAACGCGGCCACTATTTTATAACCACGTTTGAGTTGAAATTAATTCACACACTCCATGCTTTCCCAATATTATTTTTACCTATTAATTTATTTTACATGACCCATGGTCACATCTACTGTGCGGATTCTAGCAGTTATTACGTTCGATTCGTTTTCCTCTCACTCATTGTCCACAAAGCTGTTCCAATATTTCGCATGTTGTTTCGGCTGCTGCTAGAGGATTTCTATTTTTCAGGAATGTCGCAGGATGCTGGTCAAGTCGATTTCTGGATTCCTTACAATCTTGGAGATAGTCAAGCTAAGACGTTCCCGCTTACAATGGAAAAGAGCGTTGAGGAGAGGAACGAACTAACGTCTTTGCTTCCTGATCAGTGGCATCACTGACCACAGCGCTGTCCCCGCCTGCATCTCAATATTAAAAGAAGCAAAAGCTTTAGCAACAAGCATTATGGCCGTTCTTTCACTTGGTCTTTATTCCAAAAAAATTTCTGTCTCAGCAAGTATAGCTATGTCCGTAAAGCCGCTCTCTTATGGATGGAAAGCATTTGCTAATTATTGAGCGCAACCAGGTAGTCGTATTGCTGGAGATTGTACTAGCAGTGGAAAACACCCCAATGACACTTTGCTCTAAACTATAAACTACTGTCTATTAACAAGTAGAAATAAACGGAAAATGCAAATGGCATGAACAGTTAACGCTGAAGCATAAAAAGGACAAAAAATAACGTTGTCAAAAATAAGAACATAAATGAATATGAAGAACTAGGAAACTCACCACCGTCACTCTATCGAGCGGTTGAGCTATTGACGTGAAATTGTCGTCCCATACTTGTAATAGTACTCGATATTCGCCTATTTTGCTTTGGATACGGTAGCCACTGTGAGTTAGCCGTGGCTCGAATATCATCGATCGCTCGTTTAACAGAGTGATTCGACAGATGACGTACTCATCACGATCGTTGTAATTTCTGGAAATTCGTCGGTAGCTGGAACCATTCTATCCTACGGCATTTTGACCATAACAACACAACCACAATACGTGATTTTATTCAAGCGACTGTTTTTCTATTCGATCATTGCTTTTGTATTTTTGTCTTAAACTACCAATCCATGCGAGAAGTAAGGACTTTGGAAAAGTAAGCAAAGTCACAGCTAAATATGAAACACGATTATTTGAGAGCGCGAAAAGCGGAGTTTTCTTAGAAGTTCTTATGACTAATAAAAAAAAGACTGGCATGCTCTAAATAATCTTTCATAAAGTGGATTGTAGGAGTCTTCGTTAGAGCACATGAAGCGCCGAGGCTGCGAATCCAGCTTCTCCGTTAGCCGAAGCGTTTCATAGGTTTGGAGCAAAGTGCATCACTTTGAGATTTCAGGTTTTTAGCCAGGTCAGCCAGCCAGCCATACAGGGTTCAAACTGTATTCAACTAAGCATATGGACGGATATCTGCACAACTATGGGTTTAAGTGCATTCAAAATATATGAGGTACTCCTATGCTGCTGAGGCCATGTACACTGTCTGAGGCGAACTGAGTTTTAAGGTAATCAGTAATCACTACGAAGCTTAGTGACAAACCGGCTTGCTCCGAGGAGAAACACTGGTCCAACACCTGGAAAATAATGTTTTTGTGTTTATAGACTCATTTAAAGTAACTTACGCATTAAGGCTTCCTTGATACATCATTATATACATCAATTTCTTATCACAGCGAATTGTTCGATGATTTCTCCTCAGCGGCAAATCAACAACGGGATTACGCGCCACCCATTTTCTTTAAAAATCGATATTTTATGCAATTAAATCACTTCACAATTTTAAAGATTCCTATGTTTTTTTGTACGAGTCGAAAATTCAGCTTTATCATCTTAAACGTGATGTGACATAGTTAGGGTACGTCTAACTGCAGTTCGATCGCCACTGTTATCATGGCTATAATTACGCACAAGGAGAGTTACTCACTCGTATTCGGCTTTCTGCGCTTCTCCTTCGTTGCTCATTGGAGCTTTGAAAACTTTTAAACGCTCAGGAATTTTGTCGCCTTCAACGTAAGTGAACAGTCTCGCTTCAGTTCTCGCTGTACTGTAAATGATTAAGTACAGTCGCACATAACTGCTTGGATCTTTCGTTTTCACTAACACTACACACATAAGCGTATTATCCAGTTGGCTTGTATTTTACGAAGTGAACAAGACTGTTTTTTGAGTCTAGTCTGACTCGATGTTTCCACATGGTGAACAGTAGTTCGATGACGTGAAGGGCCGATCGCTATGGTGAGGCCATTGAAGGGTTTTTACAATCAGGTTTTGTAGTTCTAGTTAAAAATAGCCTTCGTTTTAGACTAAGACAAAACCTGTTATCACCTGAACGGCCTTTCTATTAAGATCGGCACTAGCTTTATGAGGTTTCGACGCAGTGTTCCCCTTGACAGCCATAGAATCTACACCGAACATCTAATAATCTTTCCGTTGCACCATTTTAATCTTATATCCCAGTTGCTAAATGCCCCTCTAATTCAGAAGTCCTTACAAACACAGTTTTCCTTTTATTGCATTTATACTTCATCTATGCCATTCTTCAGAGTATTTTTTCAAACCAATTGTGCTTTTTGTTTATCATCTACTAAACATTTAATAACTACTCATAACCAATGTTTCGCTACAGTTACTCTACGGGCTACGCTGGCCTGAATTACACGAATACCTTTAGATTTTTTTACGACAAAGACCTCATGTCTTCTGTTTTCACTCTGCTTTCTCGAAAGACAATAGGTAGCTAGATGGATCAGCAGCAGCAGTGATAGGTTTATGCTTAGTCAAATTTGTGGATGGCAATGTAGCCCTTTTTAAATGTCGAGGAGCTTGGGTACGTTGCAAGGGCGAACCCCGCTGCAGAACGCAGTTCAATAATCAAGAATTACGTGCTCTAGTGAGGTTAGAAATCATTTGAGAGCAGATGTAACTATAGAACGAATATGAAAAATTAAACGTACTTGTTTTGGAAATTGGATTGATCGGTGTGAAGTGATATTTTCTGCTGCCATTGCAGCTGTAGTTCATCGACTGTGTGACTTTTAAACATTCCCGAAACACCACCTTCAACAATGTCGTCCAAATTGTTAAAGTCTTTCTTTACGAGAGTAACTCTGAAAAATTGTACTGTTACTGAATTCTTCCCTTCCTCTTCCACCCACTCACCTGCACTTTCTCTCCCTCTTTGAATGAAAAAATGGACGTGCTTAAAATTATGCAATGAGGTGAAACGGGAAGGTAAGATTTAATAGTGATATATGAGGCTATATTGCGGATGATCGAACCTACTTGAATCTCATCAATGCAGCCGATCCGACAAAATCGAACACGCTGCCGGATTCCATCTGAAGAATGGGGGAAAATTTTCATGGCAAAAATTGGCAAAAAACTAAACAGAAGTTTTTTATCACAGCGGTCATCCATCAAAGCTATGAGGACCTTAACTTCTCTTGTTTTAACAATAAAAGAAAGAAAGCAGCTGGGACGGATAGCATAGTGGTAGTGATGTCTGTCCTCACGAGCATGGTGTTAGTTCGATCTCGCTCCGGACCAACCAAGCCTCTCATCTCTCCGGAGTCAAAAAATTGGTACCGCACTTGCCTAGGAAAAAGTCGCTCTCGGTAAACCATTTGGGAACGCTCCACCCGGCTATCACAGGTCTCCAGTGAGAATTTGCACGGCCAGCTTTTTACGGCACTCAAGATGAAATGAAAATCCTCATGCGGTAACCGAAGCTATACGTAAAAGTTGGAAAATCGTCATGGACAATGTATGCGAGGAAACGAAACGGACGTGAGAAATGCTGGGATCCGCACAGTTTAAGTGAGGACGGGTCATTTAAAATAAGATAAAATGAAACGAAATAAAATGTAAAACAAAAAAGTGACTGAAACAACAATACTACGAAGTAATATAAAATATAATATAAAATAGGTGTTAATATATGAAATCAACAAAAAATATGAGAAATGAGGTGACGAACACTGAAAGAAATCCCACACAATCCACCCAGTGCGGCAAAGAGAGCTCCTCTCAAAAAAAAAGAAGAAGAACCACAGTGGGATAGCATTTAGAAATGGAATACAGCATTTCAGAAGTAATTTAGTTTTATGGATCTCTGATATTGGAAATATGAACATAAAAGCAAAAGCCGATGATTTTGTAGAAATTATCATCAATTTAACTCGGATTGTATGAAATCATGCAATACTACCTTGAGGAAACAATGTTACCAAAAAACTGGGTTTATAAACATTTCCATTAAAATTATGAGTGATGAACAGTTTTTAGAAATAGTCTTTAAGAGTCGGAAAACACAATTTCTTAGGATCTGTTCATAAAGCTATCCACTCTAAAAAATTGTAACAGGCAGTGACGCTGTGATTTCGATTACAGCCCCAGCTTAACTGAGTTCATTGATGATTTGGGTCCTCAAATTAATCCTGTTTGCGAGTAATTGCTGATGGATCTGATCAATGGAATTAGCTGATACACAGGCGAAACGAAGGACCCGCATGGTGTGGTGGTGAACGCGTTAGCCTCTGAAGAGGGTTAATTACGCGTTCGTTCCTCACCGCAGGCACCTGGAGTTTTGCAAATATCTCAGCATCATTGTTGTTGCACCACACATAATACACTGTCTTAAAAAATTGTGACAGGTAGTAAGTAAAAAGTTGACATCCACTTTAAGCTGAAATGTATTCCGCTGAAGGCTTCAAAAGTACTGGTGCTACAATGAACTAATATTTACCCTACAAGGAAACTTAAATTTTAATAAATTGGTAACTCTTAATAAGTTTTGATGAATAAATGAATTTTAATACGTTAGTAAAAAGGACGCACGATATTGGAACATGACCAAAAGCCGTCGCCATGACGACGCGGCTCGGCACCGACCGATACGGCATCTGAAGATCTCTTCTCTTAGCAATCACTTTTTGCTAGAAATAGCGCAAAAATAGCGAAAAAACAACAAGATTAATTCTCTGTTAGTTTCGTATTCGAGTTTTATTCGTAGGAAAGTCTAAGGTCACTAGATTTCTCATCGAACAAATCCTTCAGTCTTCATTTCATCCATTTTCCAACGGCGTTTTGCCAGTTCAATGTGTTTTCAATCAAAAAAAGGATTTTTATAATTCTTTGAGGTTTCCTGTCACGAAGTAGTCGTGCATGCGTCGTTGTCGTGGATGATTTTAGTCCTTTTTGAAAATGAAGTCGGTTTGATCATTTGGCTTAGGAATCAGGTTAAGAACAGAGTTAGCCGGTTTTACAAGGTTTTGAAGATCGCTACATCCTTAAATTCATGTGAAACGCAACAATTGATGTAGCACGTTTTCGTCCAATTTTCTTCAAGGCTTTTCAAGAAGTAATGCCGTTACTTTCTTAGAACAAATATTCCCAGTGCCTTAAAGCATCATCTACGTTACAAGTTCAGCGATTCCGACTGCTTCGAAAGCTCATTCGCTAAGCTCATAGTGGCAAAACTAATGTCGTGTTAATATATGAATATATTGTATACATGGCATTGTGTTCAAAAAAGAATAAATAGAACCGTGAACAAAAATATGGCCAGAATATATTGAGGCCTAGCTTTTAACCTCTTAGATTACTTAGAGTACTGTTAAATGCTTCTATTACAATGGCACTATAAGAGTTTTGTCAAAGTTTATGCTTGATCGCCATTCAACGGACAGGATCAGACGTCACAGGACCGATGAACGTTGAAGTGGCGAGTGCGACGCCATTGAAAGAGAGAAGCTCCGGTAAAGAAATGATATTAAGCAAGGAAAAGGCCATATTGATTAAGTAAAAAGACAAAATTTCAAAAAAAAACTTGAGATGATATTGGAAATCATTTTTCAGGCTTTACTTCCACACCACGCTTCCTTTTACGCAGACTGGTATTTCGGAACACAGGAGTACATTTCTGGAAACGATAATCGCCTAATAGTACGTCTCACATAATATTTGACGAGATCGCTACAGATTGATGATTCTACCTCTTAACAGATCTTTCACGTCACCATCTTTTATTGGTTTTGAAGACAGTTTTGGCCGCGATTCAATTGCAAGCTAGTACAGGATTGCAGTTGCCCAAGAAGGAAAACACATTACGTGAAGCACTTGGGATAGAATCTTGTTCACAGCTACGTGATTTGGCACTGCTCTTTCCAGGCGCACCAACGAGCCTACTTGTCTGAACATCCCAAGGCACCCTAGAACGTACTTCAGCTCTTAAATTACAAAATTCTGGATCCCATCGAAACAGAAGATTAACTCTGGAAAAAAAAGCGAGTTAAGTCTAGATTGGTAGGTAAAACGTCCTGTATATCTGATGACCAATAAAGGAACTTTTTTTGGAGGTAAACGGAAACAAATTGCTGTCGAAAAATTCCTTCGGAATATACGAGTATGTAGTCTCCTCTGTCTTTTTTGTAATCGAAGTTGCTTCATCCTACCGTAATATAGAGCTGGTACAACAAATGTTCGACTAAAACTTCTTTGTTCTACAAAAGAGACCGTCCCAGATCCAAAATCTCGTTAATCCAGGCTGTTCACATCAGACTTCCTCCATTTATCAATCATGTTTTCTGCTGGAACGTTTTTTTCTTTGCTTCAATATAAAACCAGCACATCAACTTTATTTGGAAGACATATTTATGTGATCTTATAAACCGATCTTCTTAAGCTGACGCGAGGTTGGTGCAGGTTTTCGTTGTCGTTGTCGTTGTTTTTGATGTTGTTGGTCGATGGCAGACGTTTCGGCGACCGTGAGCCGTAATGTTACGTGTGGGACTGGCTCAGGTGAAGTTGCCGAAACGTCAGCCATCGACCAACAACATCAAAAACAACGACAACGACAACGAAGACCTGTACCAACTTCGCGTCAGCTTAGGAAGATCAGTTTATAAGATCATATAAGTAAATATATCATCTATGCCGAGATTTATAGAAAGTCGGTCTTTCGATTTATTTGGAAGAGTCGATAACAATTACATTAGCTCTACCATTGAGTTGAATGGGCTTCATGACCAAGCAGCTACAGACCTTGTGGTATAATAAGACGGTTTAGCGACGCTCAAGAGGTCGTCCAAGAGACCCTGCCATTTTGAGAAGAATAAGATTCTGAGCTATTTTAACAGTATAATCAATCACAACTTATAATGCCGTTTTTTGCCCCTATATCAATCCCGTCGACGAGTGATTGCCGATTTCATTGTTAGATGGAAAACTAGTTGAGAGAAAGGCGAAACGAAGGACTCGCGTGGTGTGGTGGTGAACACTTCAGCCCCGGAAAGGATAATAACGAGCTCGATATCGATCGCAAGCATTTGCGGTGCGCAGTTTTGCAAATATTTCAGCACCATTGTGGCAGAATTTTATAACTACTTAATTGTTGGCAGCTGATATCTCGAGCACTTCTCATGTTATCACCGCTTTCTAACTAGCACAGGAGACGCCGTTCTCCATAGATTTTATTCCTAATAAGTAACATTACATGCCTATCGGTTTCATCTAGGAATTGGAAAAAGTGTGAAAAACTATAGCACCTTCTGTGTACTGAGGAGCAAGTTGAGAAGCTTACGTGCAAAGTTAAGCTATAAAGATTAGCGATAAACTGTTCCCTACTGACGATCTTACGTCGACTGACCCACCATCATTCAAAGTTAAACCAAGCTTAAGTTGTTAAGGTGAATAAACGGATAGGATGACATGGTTTCTAAACCTCATCTCCATCCAGTCCATTAAATTCGCTTCTATCCATCCAGGCAATGTCGAAATTTTCCTAGGACATCTACGGCATGCACACCTAAAACGCTAACGCGGAGTAGGGTTCCGATTCAATGTTACCAGTACGACATTCTGCAACGTCTCAAATAGCTCTACAATAGAAGCCGTTTTCGAACACCTCATAGGATATGAGGAGGACGTAAATACGCATTGCTTATCGACTTAGCACCTCATCAATCTCTTAGAAGAGTTTCTCAGGTGTTCAATCTCTAGGTGGAATCGACAACATCACGTCCAAATCAATGTTGGAGATGGAACAGCGATTGTCGTCAAGTCTCGCCATTAGCTAAGTGCCTAAAGTAAAAGCTTCATTTCCAGTCGCCAGCCCTACGTTACTGCAAAGTTTACTGCACAAATACCTTGCAGATAAACCGCATAACCGCATTTGAAGAATATCTTTCTGGTCTTTCCTTATTCTTGCACTTCGGTGAGCTCCAATTCGATAGAATAATGCAGCACGTTAGTACCACTTCTGAGTGTGAATTAACTAATATCGCCGTCGGTCACCTAGATAACCTGGTATCTAATTCGCTAATCATCACATGGCTAAGGGAATCCCTACCAGAGATTTCATTCTTTTCCGTAACACATCAGAGCTGCCTAATAAGCTTCTTTTGCTCCAAGGACCCGAACACCATTATGCATTTTGTACCGGAAACTTTATTTTTTCAGTGCATTTTCTCGAAAGGTATTAACGGCTAAATTTACCCAGCTCAGTCGTGACACATTGGTAAAATTCATTCACTGGTGACTCATCGAACTACTTCAGATTTCGTATAGAAGTTTATTCATAATGAAAAATCGCACCCTCTTGGACGAACGTGTACGGTGAAACCCTTGTAGAATCAGACATACTCCAACTAGTACACGTGTGTAGTTCAAGCGAAGCGTCGGCCGGTTTGGCACGGCAAGAGCAAGGAGTTTTGACCATTGGATCTACTATGTTGTTCGGAAATAAATGAGCGTTTTAAAATATCTATTGTTTTAATGCGTTTTTACCACTAAAACATCCTCAGCACCTTGCAACACTACGTATCATTAAAAATTCGATTTTATGCTTCTTCTTATATTTCCTCATGTTTTGTCAGAAGTTAAATTCCTTCACCAACTTTGAGCTTTGCACCTTTAGATGTCAAGAACGATTTTTCGTCAAAATTTCTTCTATAAGTTCAAACTCGGTCGTTGTGCCACAGAGACAGCTCGCAACATTAGCGAAGTTTGTGGTAAAGGTAGTGCTGGTGAATCAACAGTGCGAACAAGGTTCCGGAAATTCCGATCTGGTGATTTCGACCTCGAGGATAAATAAGGCCGCGGACGTCCCAATGGACATGGCGACGACGAATTGTAGGCACTAGTGGAAGCAAACACGTGAACAACTGCTTAAAACTTGAAGAACAGCTTGGCGCGAGCACAGGAAAGAATTTCCACTAACTTTAATCGCATAGGAAAGGAAAAAACGCTCGATAAGTGGGTGAAGCACGATTTAAACGATAATAAAAAATTCGCCATTTTGATCTGTCGTTTGCTCTTATTCTGCGCAACAAAAACGACCCTTTTCTTGATCGAATTGTGACGTCGACGAGAAGTGGATCCTGTACGACAACCGAGGACGCCCAGCTCAATGGTTGGGTTGCGATCAGGCTCCACAGCACTTGCCAAAGCCCAAATTGCACCAAAAAAGGTTATGGTGACTGTTTTTCGGTCTGCTGCCTGACTGATTCATCACGGGTTTTGGAATGTGGTCGAAACGATTAAGGCAGACAAGTATTGCCCACAAATCGAAGAGATGCACCGTAAACTCCAAGGAAACCACCGGCATTATTCAACAGAAAAGTACTAATACGTCTCTACCACAATGCCCGGCCACACGTTGTGGAACCACCACCGCAGAAGCTGAACGAGTTGGACTACGAAACTTTGAGTCATCCGCCATATTCATAAGACGTCTCGCCTACCACTGCACCTCCTCATGTACCTTGACAACTTCCTTCTCGAGAAATACTTTACCAACCACGATGACGGAAAATATGCCTTCAATGAACTCATCGCTTCCATAGCTCCAGAGTGTTATACAACTGCAATAAATAAACTTGTTTTTCACCGACAAAAATGTAAGATTTAAACGGTTTTTATTTTGATTAATAACGTTTTGTTTCAATTAAGTCATGATATACCTTTTTTATTTTCTGCCTACTATAATTTCGCGGCGGGGTACTAAGCGAAATACAACCATAACGTTGCTGAGATATTTGCAAAACTCTGGACCGCAGGTGTCTATGGTGGGGAACGAACGCGCTATTATCCTTTCCGGGGAGTAACGCGTTCACCACCACACCATGCGGGTCCTTTGTTTCGCCTGTCTCTCAGCTATTTCTATCGATCTTTGCCACAGCAATCACCCTTCAGCGGGATTGATCTGGGGCTCCCAAATCGGCTTAGAACCCAGTTAAGCTGTGGCTGTAGTTGAAATCACAATGTTATACCTTTTTATTTTCTGCCTACTATAATTTCACGGCAGGGTACTAAACGAAATACAACCACAACGTTGCTGAGATATTAAATAATGTAGTTAAAAATGCTTATTTATTTCTAAACAACCCTATCGCTTAATGAACGCCAACATGCTATAGCAAAACCACCTCAGGTAACCCCGCTTCTACTTGTTTTGCTGAAAATAAATCAGCTGTGCTGTTAGCTACCTGCGATCGCAATATTCTTGTTCACGACTAGAGTGAACACTAGTGGCATGTCGATTCGCTCATGTCTTGTCAAAGCTTTTGTACACACTGGACACAGCCCGCTCAATGGCTCTCAGGATCAGTAAACTTTCCATGTGACGCCCAACACTAGACGTGCAGTTTCTAATGGGGTATTTTGGATAATGAAACAATATAAACAGTTGAAAACGTTTTTTTCAAGACACTACAATATGAGTTCGCCAAAGCCCTGAAAAGGTACCACTAAGCGAAATCAGGAAAAGGAAAGCAAACGTCAAAGCTCTCATAGAAAAGCTCTTCGGTGTGATTTAGGTTTAATGGTGACCATGCACACATCCTCTTACACGGTTTTAGAAAGGTCTGTCAATAATCACAGAATTTGGGCCATCACGGGGATCGCTGTCAATCTTGAAGGATCTTGGTCACAAGGCATCAGGCTTCCTCTTGTACATAACGAACGGTGACAGCCTGTATTAAAGATATAAGAATACTTTTTGAAGTTATTTCAAGATTAAAGGGATATCTATCCCCGATCAGCATTCAGAGATTCAGTTGAGGTTGAAGGCGACAAAGCATTAGGCCACAGTAGAACAATCACATAAGCCAAGTAGCCATTATGGATGTTAGTTGCAAACTAAGGAAACGAATGAAATTACTGGTCCCACACTTCATGTAGTGACGGGCCATCTAATCACGCAAATATTAGCATGTTAACACATTGGGGACGAGTTGAGTCGCACGTGATTCATCCCTTATCAGGCAAGATAAACCACTTGAATTCTTTTTTTCCACCCGTTTATTTTACAGTATAGATTTCCTTTCCTGCACTTTTCAAATTGTTCGGTGATGTACCCACCACGGTCAACGGAGCTGAAGGTTCCTCCTTGCGAACTCTAACATCCACTTTCACTCCATAATTTTCTCGAAGCTTTTTCACAAACATCACACTCACAATATAATCGATGACTACCCTCAGAATTTTGAAGCATGGCTAAGAAGAACTGAGATGGGCTTAACATTATATTGGAAGTTCTGTGGAACAAAATTGCTCGTAACGTCTTTTGTTGGCGGAAAGATTTGTGAAATGTGTCTAACAGAATTCAATGTTGACGCATGAATGGTTGTAGGATTAAAAGTACTCTCTTGCAGAACTTTTGTTAGTGAATGTTAAAGTGCAATTTATTCCTATGTTGGGAGTACAATATGTCTACAGTGTAACGTTTGTAGTTCTTCAAATCTGCTACGCTCTTCGTGAAAAAACGTTATCCTTTTCCACCTTCAGCGCTAAGAAGAGCCATTTGCTCGTGGTATTTCCTGGTGCAACGGATCCACTCCTCAAGATCTGCTACATGGCAGGCTTTGTTGCTTGGCAACTCGTTCAACATCGCCGTCAGCTGGAATTCTCAGAAAAAATTACTCTAATATTTAGAAAGCTGCCACAAATTGAAGCTCATAATAACGGCAGGCTAGCAGGAGTCGCCTTAACGTCTTTTTGATACTTACTTGATACTTGAATGGCCCCTCCTCACTGGTTCTGCGGACCCCAGCATAATCTCCACTACTCGGAGATTTGTTGGTCAAGTCATTGTGGTTCCTTGGAATCCCGAGGACAGCCTGGCCAAAGTCTGCCCTAGGTCTTCACCACCACCAGCAGTCGCAGCCCTTATGGATCAGAGAGAGATTTGCCACCATGCGACTTTAGTACTAGGACGGTGATGGATCCTAGTAATGGTTTACTCTTAGTTATGCTTTCTGATGGAAACGCCGGACTCGTTCTTAGCTTGGGAGACCTTGTCAAGGGGATGAATCCCCCGCTGCACTTCGCAGCCCGACACCCAGGAACACCTCCCAGCCACTATGAGGCGGTAAACCGTTGGGAGGTGACGTCTTTTTAATGAAAGAAAATAGCAAATATAAGGTTAGGGAGTGCTTAAGTATAATACTGGCCAAAGAATAAGGTACTCAGAACTTTAACAAATCTAAACTTTTAAAAAAAGGAGACCCTCAACTTCGAACAACGATTATCATCGAAGTAAAGAATCACCTCTCAAGCTTAACATAATACAAGGTTGCTGGCTATGTTAACCCACCTGCTTGAGCTTATTTTCGTAGGCAGACACAGCCATTTTGTAGAGGTGATCTTTGACGGCAATCAGTTGTTCATCTTTCTCCGCCTCCAGCTCCGACTTTGCAAAATCCATTTCTCTTCGAAGCGTATCCAACTCTAGAAAGCGAATGGAAACGATGGCGTATGACACTGATGACGAAACAACGAAGGGTGGGGCAGGTGGAAAACATGGTTCTGTAGAAAACTTCGTAAAGGCACCATTTAATACTGCTGTGTGCGCAGTATACTTCTGCTTTATAAAAATTTCCACTTTTATTTATCGTGCTTATACGAGGGAGCGGACAGCACAGTGGTAGTGGTGTCCGTCATTACGAGCATGGTGCTAGTTCTATTCCGCACCGGGCCAACCAAGCCTCCCTTCCCTCGAAGTGGGTACCGGACTTATCTGGAAAAAATCACTCTCTGCAATCCAATTTGGAACGCTCCAGCCCGGCTATCTCAGGACTCCAGGGAAAATTGCTGGACCAGCATTTTACGACATTCAAGATGAAATGAAAATCCTCAAGCAGCAACCGAATCCACAGGTAAATTTGGAAGATCTTTGTGGGCAATGGATGCAAGGAAACGAATCCAATTTGAGAAGTGCTGAGATCTGAACGGTAGACGTGAAGACGGGTCAAATAAAATGAAATTTAAAAAAAACGTGTGCATATATTTCCTAAAGTATGCTTTGCTACTTTTACTTGTATTCTTTGCAAGAAATTGGAACTTCCCCAAGGATTTTCGCTTGCTATTGAACGGGATTTTCAAAAGCGCTAGTCATCGTTGTTGAGGCGTCGAGTGATAGAGTTTCTGAACGTAAGTGGCATGATTGCGTAGCATAGAAGATCGCAACAATGCAATTCGCCAGAGAAGTTATGAGAGAAACGACTATTCAAAAGTCTAAAATGCAGAGTTCTATGGTTGTAATAAGAGGTGATCGAGAGTCGACGTCAGGGAATTCAAGGCGTAGAATATCTACTCTTAACCACGCTGATATTTTGAGAAAAAATTAAACGTTGTCATAAACAAAGTCAGGGATCAAAAAGATCTTCCATCCATTTATGTACAGCGTGAGAAATCCTTTTCTTAACTGATAATTGGCGATGGATCTTCTATGTTATAGCGGCGAAAACAGGAAGAAAAATGCGATATAGTACGTACTAGGTAACACCCGCTGTTACCCGAATTTAGTAATAAACCTAAGGAGTGACGAACTTCTTCAGTAGAATATCACTTATCTGGAAACTGAGTGCAACAGTCGCCTTGAAAAGAAAAAAAAAACAAAAAAACAAAAAAAAATATCATGGAAGAAATGGCGCGTGTAGGGTAGTGGTTTTGAAATGACATGCAGCACAAACGTAAAATGTCGGTCGTGATGATTGGATCCAACGCCCCCGAGCACACCTAGCCGTCCATCTCTCCAAAGAAGGCAAATGTCCTAAATGTTCTAAATTTGCCTCGGTGCGCCAGTAATAACTTGATACATGGGTAAACTGTACAGACAAGATATGCACTGAGACAACTCTAGGGATTGATCAAAGCCCAATGGTTCATCATTTATTGTTGAAGAAGAAATCATAAAAGAAAATGGAGAATAAAGAATGTTGAAAGAGTTATAGATGAACATAAATCCTACACCAACTATTTTCCACAACATCATCAGTGCATGGTGTTAAACATTTGGTGCTCAGAGAACAAGTGCGATTGCTAATGCACGGTGGCCATCTCAGGGCTAACCTGTACGTTGTACGCCTATAACCCAATAATCATTCTGTATGAATGCACGTATATTCTGCACTGTACGTCTAGCTCTTCTTATGTATTCACGACGCTCCTTTCCTCGCTTTTCATACAAATCAATCTGATTCTTCTGATTCTGAAAAACTACGATATTGAGTATAAAGATTCCATTATGCAAATAATTTCTCACCTTATAATCGTCTAAACCATGGCTATTTTTTAAACACGACGCAACCAATTCGTTCTCCTCCTCTCCATCAGGTGGCAGCAAATGCATCTTATAGTCCTAAAAGTGCTTGAGATGGAATCCAATAAAAACTGCGATAGCAGAGCAACTACATTCTGTTCGACGCAAAACTTCTACTGTTTGCACTTTTATTGAGAACTGTTAGCAGTTCTTGTGACGTCTGGAAATACCTACGACCTTAAAGTGGAACTTCATGTCGTCGTAGATTTGCTCATAGAAAGAGCCACGTAGAGGTGGTTGGATAAAGGTCTCGCGTATACAATGACTTAGGTGACGTAATTGGCCAAATAAGTATTTTTGCTTTTTCAGATTAGTCCGGTGGCAATTTTGAGACCCTGCAGCAGTGAGAAGGTTGGTGAGCTCTGGGCGTCGAGCTAGAGACCGACTCAGTGACTCATGTAGCTCACCTCTAACCTCTGCACACAAGCGCCTTAAGTTCATATAGGTAAATACTATTTAATGAAATTCTTTAATCATCCTTTAACTGTCCAATATAGAAGCTTTTCCTTCAGACCTTGTTTGGATAAACCTAAATTGTTGGGTGATTAACCGGATTAGGGAATATAGTTTATATTGCCAGCTTACCACAAGTGAGTTTGAGAACCGATCTAGAAATAAAATATAATTTAGCACTTTTACTAGGCCTCGGCCAAATAGCTCTTGGTGTCGATCAATTTCTAAGGGATGCACCATGCAATCGATTTACTAAGCAACGTTGGAGGTGACTGAATGCATATCTGGCCTATTCAATGGCTCGCGGTGGCCTACCGATGCATAGAGCCAGTGCTGTTGCCCTCCCAGTCAAGTCCGGTAGCAGTTTGCCGACCTTGGAGGGATAGAAGGCTTGGTGAGCCTGGGCCGTGAAAGCGATCCCATATGTACTGCAGAGCGCCTCTAGCCACTGCGCTACGCGCTTTCCTTCATCAAAGTAGCAACAACACAAAATGATATATTTACCAGATTTGCGTTCCCTAGTTATGTGCTGCTTCTTTTATAATACATTATTCCATCGCCATGCAATTCGACAACTGAATCGTACCTTGTTTGATTTTTTCAGCCCTTACTGGACTAAATTATTGCGTGTATTGCAAAAAATGTTCACACAGCAAGAGAGGATATGACCTGATTTCGGAAAGGTGTTATCTCTCGAAAGTGTTTGAGATTTTAACAAAAGGTAGCTGACCAATTTGAAGTTGAGCATTCGCATCACAATAGGTAGTCACCATCGTAATTAGTGTGGACTTCTGGAAGGCATGAACTCAAGAACAATTTGACTGACGTATGAGAGATGTTGAGCAGCAATCCTTCGAGCTGCAGCGTGACTTCCCAGCTAGTTCAAGCTATGTGTCCATTATGGAGTAGACTATTGGATTCTTACTTAATGGTAGCGTGATTCAGTAGTCCTAGTACGGGTATAAAAACCTTTCATTCTTTGTGTGGACTTTTAGTATTCCTGTATTGTAATTCTGTCGAATATTTAGGCACAACATGATTGCGGTTCGAAGCATGTGGTGTAGTGATTGGAGGTGCCCAGCAAAACACATGAAATCAATCCCGTATCTTAAGCTCACCGAACCTTCCATCGCTTCGGGGTCGACAAATTGGTACTAGATGTCTCTGGGAGGATAGTAGCATTGCATCGACACATCGGCAGGCCAGTGTGGATCAATGTATAGACCATATTTGCATTCAGTCACCTCTAACGATGCTTGATGAAGTCGAATGCATGGCACACCCCTAGGCGAATGATCTATGTTGAGAGGTTTATCTTCTTATCCTTTTGTGATGGCGATCGAGCGGTGCTGTTAGCCATGTTCGTCCTTTCTGATATCAAGTTCTTTCGCACTCGCACATTCTATACATCTGTTCATATATGAATGCAGCTGACTATCGTCATCACTAGTAGAGCCGTTCCATGCGCTTCAAACGTTCACGGCACAGTATGATTACCTCTTTGCGATACTTCGGATTTTCTTGAATTGCACAGCAAACGGCTTCAGCGAGTGTATCGAGACATATCTGCAAGAAATTCGTCGGTGAGCAGATACTGGCCCTTCATTTTACCATGCCAATGTTGTACTTGGACCACATTGTCATGAATTTATCACATTTTTATAAATGGTCCAAGTAGTCTCACCATTTTATATGGATATTACGAAAAATTATCATTCATCTATTCCTCCTAGGCGAAAATAGACTAGAGCAAAAAAATTATGTTGCAGAATGTTGCTGTTCTATTTTGGGAAGGTCACGGAATCCAGTAATCGTTTGTCTTGTTGTGTTTTATCCTACTAAGGTAGCGTGTGTATCGCAGCGGTTGGAAGCACCCTGCAATACACACGTGGGGTCGATCCCCACGCCCCTGGCTCACCAAGCCTTCCGTCTCTCGGTAAATTGGCACCAGACTTGTCTGCCAGGATAGCAACACTAGACCAATACATCGGTAGGCCACCACGAATCATTGTAAAGGCCATGCATGCATTCAATCACCTCAAAACGATGCTTAATGAAGTCGAATGCATGGCTCATCCTTAAAGGACTGACCAACGCCGAATGCTTGATCCTTTTTTATCATACATTCAGACTACATTCGAAATAGTTCTAAACCTTATAGACTTTTTTGATTCTGTTATCCGTTTTACGTTTCTTTCTTAAGAAAATCGAACCGGTTGTAGCAGCTATTGACAAACCTTGTAGTTATCGAGATGCACCAGTGAATCAGAAAAATTTTTCGAAATTTCCGTCTTTTCGACCAAACCAACGCTCTGTTTGATTTGAAAAAAAAATTTGCGTATATTTTGCTTCTTTTTTGGTCCACCCTGCAAATCTTGTATTCGTCATCGCCCTGGTAACTGCAGAGTCCACTGGGGCAAAATTTGTTGGCTGCTTACAGTCTCCGTTTGAACAACGCCTTTTCCGCTTTTTGTCTTTCCGGGACACATCTGGCTTTTTCTGGAAAGCCTCAGGTTAACTCTATATTGTTTCTGTTAATAGGTTTTCATCGACCACATGATAATATTGTCGGCTAAATGGACTAGGATTGAAATAACAATCAGTTACTAGTCAGATCACCAGACGATGAATTGGCTCGGAAAAAAGTTTTTGTAAATTACTAAGTATAAAGACCAGCCTCGCGGTGGCAGCTATCAAGAGAGTGCGAAATCTATAATAAAAAAGCGATGTATTGCTTAATAAATCACTGCAAAATGCATGCATAGGATACCATGCACTTAGCCCACATTACCCTACGGCTATACATACCATAGTGTATCTCGGGCAATATGGGTCAAAGAATTTTCTGATTTCAAACGCGAGTACAGCAACTAAATTGCACCATATTGCACCTTTGGCTGAAAATGAAGCAGGCTGCTCAGTAACTGCCATGTGTTGCCATATTACTATTTTCAGACACGACTCCTATAGCCTAACTCGATTTATCGACTGTCATTTAAGTATTTCATACAATTCCGCTCAATTTTGGTTCCTTAATGTTAAGGATAGGAAACTGTCAAAGCTGACTGTGATGGCTAAGATCATTCACGGCAACCTGCAACTCCATTTGTTCTTTTCTTAAGGTTTGGCGTTAAAACCTCTCAATGGAAAGTAGCGCAACGAAAAAGACCGCATAATATCAAGTCGTAGGACTTGTTTGACCGACATCGTTATTGTCACGAAATACGATGCTGAATCGGATGGTCACATTGTCAATTCCAGATCCCACTTTTCATGGAAACGAGTGAAAGGCGTAAGGTTGAAGAGACAGAATCATAGAAGCACTATGAATTGGGATTTTTTTGGATCAGCAGTCGGTTCTTGGGAAGGCGCCGTTATCGACAACATTATTCGATTGGCTTATTCAGCATATTCACATTGGCATCACCAGGAAACACCCGTTTACAGAAACAACGAGCAAATACGCCAATGTTGAATAGCAGGAACTGTTCGCAATTACCAACTCACATCCAAACTTTGAAAGCTTTGCAGAAAGGCGATGACAGAGGGTGTTAAGGAGGGAAGAGAAGCCGCTATGGCTGCAGCTGCAGAAGTTGGTTATATCGCAAAGTGGTTCAGTGTAGCTAGGAAATAAGGTTTTTTTCTGCCAAAATTGAAAAAGGAAGCTCACACTGAAATGCAAGACGTGGACGTTGATATGCTTGACAGTGATGATTTTGTTCCGCTTGACTGCTTAATAATAAGAAACCTTGTTCTGGCCGTCATTGCGTATTGCGTTTTGATTTTTGTAAATGGGGGTGTTAGCTGGATTTGGTTAGAATACTAGAACTTAAAACAAAACATTGTCGTGATAACTCCCACATCCGACTTTCTATTAAGCTCAGCATTGATTGAACAACTCTTTCCACTTCTGCTCAGCAAACCCCTGTTATTCTGATGGGAGCGGTACATTACGCTTCGAGATGAATTCTGTGCGGTCTTCACACGACATACTCAATGGAAGGCTCATAGAAAGCGGTGAGTGTGCGGAGCTGTGTTCAATGTGATTGAAATCTTGGTTTGGCGTTCTCTCTGTTTGGTTGTGAAGGTGTTTGGCCGAAAAGATTGCTGTCGACGTAACCTTTCCAGGCTCTGAGGAAGGCGAAATCCGCCGAAACGTCAGCTTTTACGTGAATGGGGAAGCGGAATAGCACCTCGTGTTTGCTGAGCAGAGTGGAAAGAATTGTCGTAATATTTACTAGTCCTATCACTGAAGAAGAATTGCTCAGTTACCGTCACTGTTTTCTCCGTCTTCTCCGTATTTGACATCTTCCCAGTCGCCTGTCACCTTTGATGGTTGTGACCTTAATCCGAATAATCGTGGCTCGACTCTCTTCTGAGGAGGTTGATGAGAGCATTCTACGAAAAACTCACTAGTTTGCGTGGTTGTTGAAACAAAATGAAGTTGCTACGCTTCACTTTTTATAGCATGTGAGCATCTTGTCACAACTCCTCATATCAGATGATTGTCTGTTATGTGCAACAGTAGTTCAGCGGTTGTTTAGAACTTTCTCTATCTTCGCTATAATGAGTAAAGCCAGATAGGTACTTGATATATTGTATCAGCTGGTTCATACTGCTTAGTTCATACTACCAAAAAAAAAACTGTCCACTTTACAGCCAGCACAGAAAAGGAGCAATCTACATACTCTTATAGACCACATTCGAAGTTACTCATCCATTTTGCTACCGACGACCACTAAGTGCGGCGTATAGCACAAGGTGTCTGAGTTAAATGTCTTCAGAACCCGTTGGTGCAGCTCGTTATAGTGAGCAACAAACATTTCCACAACCGTTCTTTCCGTTCCTTCCCGTCTATCCACTGTTAAATTTCCTCAGAGCACTGCCGGTCTTTTCCAATTCGTTTTAAATGCATGGTTTACATGGTATACATTATAGTGCAATGATGCTGAGATATGCGCTGAACTTGATACCTCAGGTGAGTTTCGAAACCGTGACCTTTCTAGGGACTAAGGTGTTACCTACACAACTAAGGCGTTCGTTATGACTTGCTCACACCCAGTTTTCTACCGTAACGGTGCCAACAGCCATAACCATCATCTGTCATCGGAAATGATCTAGAGAGGACAAATCGGTATCGAACCCAGTTAGGCTGAAGCTGCAATTGAAATCACAATGTTCTAAATGTTATTACTTGCCTATCTAATTTCGTGGCAGTGTACGATATGGAATACAACCACAATGATGCTGACGTATCAGCATAACTTGGAAACTCAGGCATATTTAAATCATATTTTTTTAAAATTTATACCTTGTATACTATTTGTTTTATTTATGCGACTTTATATATATATATTTATAAGTATTTTTATATAAAAAGGTGCAGATGACAAAGCTCTCGACGTTGATCAACCCCTGAGGGGATGCGTTATGCATTGAACATCATCAAGCATCGTCAGAGGTGATTCAATGCAGATCTGGCCTCTACGGTCACTCAAGGTGGCCTACCGCAGTATCGAGCCAGTACTACTGTCCTCCCAGACAGGTCTGGTACCAGTTCGCTATCCCCGGGTGATGGAAGACCTAGTGAGCCTGGAGCGTGGGATCGAAAGCGTGTGCGTGGCAGGTCGCCTGTAACCATAAGCACAGTGTGTTGCACACCATATTCTTGTATATATTTTTTGCATTCATTTTATATCTACATTTTATTTGATTTTATTTTCCTAAATACGTTACTCATTTTTTACCATCATTTGTTCACATATTAAGTTTGGAGAAGATAAGCGGCAAATTCTCAATCGTTATTGTTTGTACTAGTTGTACTTCAGAAGGGAAAGCACTAGCTCCTTTTTAATAGTATGTGTCCACCTGCATTGCGAAAAAGTAAGATTGAAAAAGTCATAGCAATCTAGGATCTTGTTTTTGCTTGTAAATTTTAGGGTAAGTCCAATAAAAAGTTCACTTTCGGTTCCTTTTTAATAAGGCGTATTAATGATCAAGCTCGCCTCTTATTCCTCATGTGGTGGACTTTTCAGTTCTTCATAATACAACCTGAAACTTGGGTTATTAGTTCGTTATATTAGCAATAAGTCAACAGAAATCACGGCTGACAACTATGGAGAGAATGAACGAAATGAGAATTAACTTCTCGAATACTGTTGCTCAGCGCCGAAGAAGTTGTTGGATCGAAGTGGAACAAGAGACCGAGCAGGGGAATACGTGCAGAAGAGTGTGGGAAAACTGATACTTCCTCCTCGGGATGTCACATGGTGTAAGCGATGTTGTAAAACTGATACTGACAACATGTTGGCATAAAATAGACAATTTTATCGCATTCATTGTAAAAATACCACCACAACATCCAACACGTGAGAGGAAATGCGAGTTGTAGCAAGCAGGAAGTCCTGAAGAATGCTCTCTGTAAGTTCCTCTTTCAAGTTCGCATTCATAATGTCTGAACTGAACAAAAGTGTTTGCAATTAATCCAAGACAGATTATTCGCACTCAAAATACAAAATTTTTGAGGGAGAAGCGGAGAAATGTTTTTTTTGGTTTGATCTTTTCCATTTCAATTGAGATGGCACCCAGTTGTCGATAAATAACCACAATGATGCTGAGGTATCTGCAAAACTCAGGACTGCAGGTGTCTGCGGTGGGAAAGGAACGCGCTATTGTCCTTTCCGGGAAGTAACGCGATCACCCCCACACCATGCGGAGCATTTCGTTTCGTCTGTGTATCAACTAGTTTTATCGATCAGTGCCATCAGCAATTACCCGCCTACGGGATTAGTCTGGAGAGCCCAAATCGGTAATGAACCCAGTTAAGCTCAGGCTGTAGTAGAAATCACAATGTTGACATTTTTATTTACTGCCTAGTACAATGTATTACATATGCCTATTACAATACCTAATACAACTAACTGATGGCATTGGTAGATAGAAAGCTAGCTGAGAGACAGGGAAGACGAAGGACCATCATGGTGTAGTGGTGAACGCATTATCACTCGAAAGGGGTAGTAGCACGTTCGTTCCCCACAGCAGACATCTACAGTCCGGAGTTTGGCAAATATCTCAGCATCATTGTGGTTGTATCACACATAATACCGTCCTGTGAACAACTGTAATAGGCAGTAAGTAAAAATGTTAACATGCTGATAAATACTATGCTTGGAACTCTATCGAAGTCATTTAGAGTGAAGGACTTTTAGTTATCAAGTCTTTTCATGTCGCTTCTTAATTTTTCATAATAATTCCGCCTGATTTCTGTTCAGGCTTAAAAATCTTCAACAAAAAAGATCGTGGAATTGCTACTCAATTTCCTCTTTACATGGTGCCGTGTTTCATAAAGCACAAATACCGACTTGGAATACCGTCGCTAATGAGAAAATCGGATTTTAGGCAACTGTAAAGACGGCTAGATTTCCATATTCTACAGAATTGACATTTTTTGCATTTCCCAGGTAATAGCAGAGGGAAGTGTTCCGCTCGG